GGCTCACTGGGAGGCTTCAAGGCTTCGAGATGACGTCACTTCGAGAGGTCGACTTTCGCTGACACCTCGTGAGTCTCAAAGGCGGTGACATATTCATCAATGAGGTTCGTTTGTTTTTATAAAACGGGGCGTGGGAAACGCATACCTGAGACCGTGTATCACAGAAGACCGGTGGAGGCGGCCAAAACTCGAGACGCGTTTTGAGATCCAGAGTCGCTAAATGGGACTCGAACCGAACGTGTGACCCCACCAATGGATTGCTCTCCGAACGAGGAATCCATTGGTGGGGTCACACGTCAAGGGCGGATCCAGAGACGGGTTCAGGGGGGGGGGGCGACGTCGTGAAAGTTGCCTACCTACAGGGGTTATGTGCCACTTTTTGCCTACCGTCCAGGCGGCTTCGCCGCCTTCAGGGGAGGGGCGACGCCCCCATCCCCCCCCCCCCCCCTTTGGATCCGCGCCTGTCACACGTCCGGTTCGAGCCCCATTTAGCGACTCTGGAGCTCAAAACGCGTCTGGAGTTTAGACCGCCTGCGCCTGTCTTGGCCCACTGTGGTTGAGTGTGGTTCCAGCGGTCTATGCCCCGAGCCAAAGATAGAGCCTCCAGTCCAAAATAGCTATGCTCCCCTCGCCGGAACCCCGAGCCGTCTCGGTGGCCAGGGAAAGAGTCACCGCGTCTGGTTTGTCTGTCTGGCGGCCTCGGGGTCGTAACTGCCACGCGGAACTTTGTAGTTACTCGACTCCAGAGGCGCCGCCGACGTGTCAACGCACCACCGACCGGGGCGGGAAACGAAACAAAACCCGGCAGCACGGAAATACATTCGGGCGTGCACTGCGAGGGGGAAGTCGGACAAGGGTCCTACATTCAAAAATTTCGAATGAATGAACAAACGAACGAATGAATGAAAAAATTAAATGAATGAAAAATGAATGAAAAATTAACAAATGAATGAAAAATGAATGAAAAATTAACAAATGAATGAAAAATGAATGAAAAATTAACAAATGAATGAAAAATGAATGAAAAATTAACGAATGAATGAAAAATTAATGAAAAATTCACGAATGAATGAAAAATGAATGAAAAATTAACAAATGAATGAAAAATTAATGTATGAGTGAAGAGAATGAAATGAAAATAAGGCTACTTCGTGCCTACTAAACAATTAATGAATGAAAACTGACTATTTCGGAAATTGTACTTCGTGACGAAATTGTTTTAACTTTTTTGACAGTTAAATGCTTCTAACTTGAACTAGTTAAAATAAGTTAAGCTAAAATTTACTTTTTTGCAGTGTAAAATTCCTGATCTCATCTCAGGTGAGACGGTTGCGCGCGTGTAGTGCTGCGTACGTACGGTAATTTAAAAATTAATACCTGACATGTTCCTTATCTATCCGCGAGGCTGCTTGCGAAATCTGAAGGACTCGAAAGGACCCCACTCAGCGCTCCGCAAGCTGCTGCATGTGCTGCTGCGATGTGCCACTGCCAAGACATTCATCATACGGCACAATTACCTTCATAACCTAACCGCTGTTTGCGCACAGAGATGTGGCCGTCGATACCAACTGCGAATAATGGCTTTCCGCTTCCGAACAAAAACAAAACAAAAACAAAACGACAACAAAAAAACAGCAAAAACACTTATCGTCCTCCTGTTAATTTATCAAGGCGAAATGAGCTCCCTCAGGATTGGCTGCACTCACGAAAAGACGTCGACGTACACACTGCGAAATTGATTCGCGTGTTCCATAAATCCAGTCTCTCTCTCTCTCTCTCTCTCTCTCTCTCTCTCTCTCTCTCTCTCTCTCTCTCTCTCTCTCTCTCTCTCTCCGCTGGCGCGTCTGACAAGGACGGAGGATTTACGGGGCTGGCAGCGCCCCGAAGGACATCTTCCATCTCCGTCGCACGCGTCCGGCGCCGACGGAGAGTGCGACGGAGACGCACTATGAATGGCGAATAAAAATGAATCAATATGAAAATGCCTAGTTTTGATCGCCCGCACCTGGCGCATATGGACCCCGAGATCGCAGCAAACCACAAAAATCTTGTACTTGGAATTTTCGACTTTTTTTTTGAAATTTATTTTTGCAGTGTGGTTGGCACGACGGACCGGGACGAGACGACTAGCAGTGCAGGGAAGTCCCCGCACAGCATACTGGCTCCCGATTTACGAGACCTATTGCCAGTGTGGTGCCGCACATTACTGTTTGGCGGGTACACGACAAGCGGGTAGCTCCAGACTGATTCCGAGAGTCGTCGCTCTGCCTCTCTCGCACTCACGTGCCGCTCCGTACAGGTGCGAGAGAGACAGAGCGACGAAAACGGCTATCGGTCTATATGGGCCACATGCCTTATGGCACCGACGGGCGGCAGCTCTCATGGAGTACTAGGGACACGCACGGAAGGAAGAGGCTAGGGGAGGGGGCGGTTATTTGTATTGTGGCATCGCAGCATCTGCTACCTTAGAGAGAGAGAGAGAGAGAGAGAGAGAGAGAGAGAGAGGAGAGAGCGAGAGAGAGAGAGAGAGAGCGAGAGAGAGAGAGAAAGAAAGAGAGAGAAGGGGAGGGGGGCGTGTGCGTGCATTAGTACCGATCGCGGTGCTCGAACGGTAAAGCCCTGGGTGTAATTGGTTTCCAATTGCAATCAGCGACTGCAGCAACTGCAGCAACTGCAGCAACTGCAGCAGCGACTGCAGCGGCGGGCAGTGCGTGTGCATTCCACGATCGAACCTGAAAACGCGCACCACGACCTGCCGCAATTTGCCGCGCGCGAAAATAGCAGTTATTCATTGAGGACGAGGATGATGGTGATGATGATGGCGATCCGCCGGACGGGCGCACGGCGGCGCACGGACACGCGGGCTGATCAGGGATCGCCAGCCGCTAGCACGCCCCGCCCCGCCCCGCCTCGCCCCGCCCCGCCACGCCCCGCCCCGCCCCGCCCCGCCTTCTGCGGCACACCGCAGCGTATGGAAAAATCTGGACAAAGGGGGCGCCTCATCGCCTTCGCACAGGATGCAACACGGTAGCAGGCCCGTCTCAAGAGAATCGGAAGCGAAAGAGAGAGAGAGAGAGAGAGAGAGAGAGAGAGAGAGAGAGAGAGAGAGAGAGAGAGAGAGAGAGAGGAAAAGAGGAGCCGGCCCCAGGGGGGGCCCGCTCCGCTCGGGGCGCACGCTCCCCACAGCATCCTGAAGGACGTGAAGGCTGTGAAGGTGAGGGTTGGGGGAAGTCGCCTGGCCCGACGCGACGGCCCGACGGACAGATGGGACCGTGCCCCTACGGCCGCGTTCGGAAGGCCCCACCTCTCTCTCTCTCTCTCTCTCTCTCTCTCTCTCTCTCTCTCTCTCTCCCAGAATTAGTGCGGGTCTGGGCGACGGAGACGGAAGACTCGAAGTGCAGTCATGCGGAAACGTTTACTGGGGGAACGGGGTGGGGAATAGCAGGGAGTAGACGCGGATTTTCGAGGCAGGCGCCCCTCCTACACTAGAAACGAGAGGGTGGTCGACTCGGCAGCAGCTGCCCTTGAACTTGAACCACCTGGTAGGTCGAGGTAGCTTTTAAAAATTATCGGTTACGCCCCTTTCAGAGTTCCTCGCTTTAAAAATGTCCGAAAGTGTTATAGTAGTGGCAGTGCAACAACAACTGCAGCAACCGCAGTTTCAGCCTTGGAAAGGTTTTAAGATTTAAAGGCACTTTGGCAAGGACACCTCATGGCCTTTAGACGCCCACACCGTAACTGGCGAAGGACCGCCATTAAAAACAACGCATCGGAGGGACAGTGACCCTGGGGCTCTTATCAGACACTATCTCTTCCGACAGGCAACCCTTCACTGATAGCGAGCGAGTATCATTTAGCCGGGATTATCCGAAACCAGTAGACCGCTCTCTGGAGGGAGCGCTCAGAGTGGGCCAGAAAACCGGTGAAGTGGTCAAAATACCGGTCGAGTTTTGAGCTCCAGAGTCGCTAAATGGGACTCGAACTGAACATGTGACCCCACCAATGGATTGCTCTCCGAACGAGGAACCCATTGATGGGTTGAGCGAACTAAAGTTTGGACCCAGAACGGAATCCTGGTGCATGCCCAAGAATTTCAGTCACGCAAGAATGTCACTCAAATCGTAAAACTGAATGGCATTCATTCGCGCAGCGAAAATTAAAAAAAAAAGACAAAAAAAGTCGAGACAATTAAATAAAATTGGAGAGGCGTCCGGTCGGTCAAGCTGGAGCAGCATAGGCTGGCCAGCCAAGGCCGCGGCAGATGTCTGAATCTGAATCTGAATCAGTCGTTGCACAATAAATGGCCGATTAAACGAGATAATCCACGTCTGATTGATATTGGGCGGCGCGCGGCGTCTTTGGCGGACCCGTGTTCCGAGATTGTAATCGACACCCGTCCGCGCGTCCATCCAGCACACTGATTCCGAGAGTCGTTCTCGTCGCTCTGTCTCTCTCGCAGTCATGGGGCGTTACGGATTGGTGCGAGGGAGACAGAGCGACGAAAACGACTCTGGGAATCAGTCTGCTGGACAGCGCTGTCATCGACGCCGACCAAACCAAACCAAACAGGCGGAGGAAAAATGGAGCCTGGCCAAAAACAACAACTAGACTAGAAAATGGGAAAAAGAAAACCGATAGGCGTCCGGTGAGAATCCAGTCAATTAGCCGCTAAACGGGGCACATTTCGGAAATTATGCAAATGTTGGCGTGGCCGGCCTGAACCAGATTGACCACCTGTTTTTGTTTGTTTTTCGATTCAGCAAAAAGGACGAGAAAAACGGTGCGATGAGACAAATCAATCACTGAAGAGCACTGCAGATTACCGAGAGTCGTCGCTCTCTCTCTCTCTCTCTCTCTCTCTCTCTCTCTCTCTCTCCTCTCTCTCTCTCTCTCTCTCTCTCTCTCTCTCTCTCTCTCATGGGGCTTCCCTGATCGGTGCAAGAGGGACGGAAACGACTCTCGGAATCAGTCTGCTGCGGACTTCCGGACGGGATTCTTACCTGAAGTCGAGTTGAGGTGTGTCGCCGATTCGAGTAATCCGGAAAGCGTTATCCAACGGGCCGATCCGAAAAGTAAAAAGGTGACCGGTGCCAAACTTGTCAAACACTCAATCACTGTCGCGACTCGCGGCGCCACTCCGTCACTGTCGGAGGGTTCGCGCCACTGGAGGAACTTCCCTGGCACTAATTAAAAACCGCGGCGATCCCCCGGAAAACGCGACTCGCGGAAAGCTAGACGCGGTGCGACGCCTTCCCTCCCAGTGTCCACGACGACGACGAGCATGACCGCGGCACGGCGCCGCGCGAACCTACACTGCCGACTGCTGGAGATGGACTGAGGGGCCGGCCGGCCGGGAGAGGGAGAGGGAGGGAGACTGACGCGCCGCGAGCACGCCGCGCCGCCGAGCGAGCGAGCGAGAGAGAGAGAGAGAGAGGGAGAGAGGGAGAGAGGGAGAGAGGAGAGAGGGAGAGAGGGGAGAGAGGAGAGAGGGAGAGAGAGGGAGAGAGAGAGAGGAGAGAGAGAGAGGAGAGAGAGAGATGAGAGAGAGAGGGAGATAGAGAGAGAGAAGATGAGGAGAGCGAGAGAGAGAGAGAGGGAGAGAGAGAGAGATAGGCTGCTGCGCGCCTTACCGTCTGCACTCCCCTCCCTCCAGCTGCAGTCCCCCCCCCCTTTTCCACACATGCAGCCGCCGCGGCCCGCGCCTCACCCCCTTGCCCTGCGGCGCGAGCTAGCGCGTCGCACCTGGACTCGCTCTCTCTCTCTCTCTCTCTCTCTCTCTCTCTCTCTCTCTCTCTCTGAGCGGCCGGCACTCGCATTACACATCGTCACTGAAGACGCCGGGCGCATGAACCACAAACCCCTCTTCCTATACAGGGAAGTCCAGGTGAAAACGACGCGGGTCAAACCAGGGGTCAGAACGCGGTGCACAGTGGACCAGCTCGGACCGGTGGAGGCGGCCAAGGTCCTAGACGCGTTTTGAGCTCCAGAGTCGCTGAATGGGACTCGAACCGAACGTGTGACCCCACCAATGGATTGCTCTCCGAACGAGTAATCCATTGGTGGGGTTCGGTTCGAGTCCCATTTAGCGACTTTGGAGCTCAAAACGCATCTAGAGTTTTGGCTGCCTCCAACGGTCCCCTGGCCCGGTGCGGTGGCTGGAACACAGCGAGGGGGTAAACACTTCAAGAAATCGTGTACAGACTACTCGGTATTACGCTGTATTACGGAGGTATTACACGTGTATTACGGCCTTCAAATGCAAAAATTTGGCACATTTGACCCGAAAAAGGTATTACGACTACGTGTATTACGCGTAATACACGGTTTTTGTGTACAGGGTATTACGCGAGTGGTTACCCCCTCGGAACACAGTGATACATTCGTATCGAGTCTGTCTCCACCCATAGCATCAATGGACATTTTAATTGAAATAGACACTAGACTTTTCCGAAATGCCGCGGTCAAACACGAAATGCATCATAATTCACGAGGAACTCGTTAAAACCATGGGATCAAAACGCGCGTCTTCAACGCAAACGAGCGGGCGCCGCGCCGCCACAGTGTCGAAATGTCATTCATGGGTTTTGCGACAGGCACTAGAAAACGCCACGCCGAGCGGCGCGCGCACAATGTATGATTATTTTTATTGCAAGTGTGTGTGCTAGCTGCAGTGGGCAGAGCACAGTGGGCCAGAAGACCGGTGGAGGCGGCCAAAATTCTAATCGCGTTTTGAGCTCCAGAAGTCGCTAAATGGGACTCGAACCGAACGTGTGACCCCACCAATGGATTGCTCTCTGAACGAGGATTCCATTGGTGGGGTCACACGTTCGGTTCGAGTCCTTTTTAGCGACTCTGGAGATCCAAACGCGTCTAGGACTTAGGCCGCCTCCACCGGCCATCCGGCCCTATGTGCAAGAGGGGCGCCGAAAAGTAAAAGTCATCTCTGTTTTTTTAACAGTGCGTCTGGCGTGTGCCATCTGACAGAAGGGCAGAGCCATAAGGCGCAGTCGCCCGCTCGACTCCCCCTCAAGACGCTCTGCTCACTGGAGCCGTAACGTCGCTCTGTCTCTCTCGCACTCACGGGGCGCCCCGTATGGGTGCGAGAGAGACAGAGCGACTCGGCTGGAGGGAGCAGCTGGACGCGCTGGAGCGCTGGAGCGTGACACCTGCACTGCACCACCCGCCGTCTTCTAGTGCCGCAGCACCGCCGCCGCAGCGCCGCGGCCAAGGCGCAGCCGGCTACCCGTTCCTTGGCCGGTGACCCGATCCCTGATGCCCGGTCCCTCGAGCCTCGAGCGCAGAGGCACCGCACAGTGGGCAAGAAGGCCGGAGGAGGCGGCCGAAATCCCAGACGCGTTTTGAGCTCCAGAGTCGCTAAATGGGACTCGAATCGAACGTATGACCCCACCATTGGATTCCTCGTTCGGAGAGCAATCCATTGGTGGGGTCACACGTTCGCTTCGAGTCCCATTTAGCGACCCTGGAGCTCAAAACGCGTCCGGGAGGCAATAGGCTTCGCTGTCGAGAAGCTGCCTGGTGGACAGGCTGAGGTTGGCAACCCTTCCGACACTGGTAGTACCCCGGAGGCTCTGCAGGCCTGGTAGGTTCGTCCGTGCGATGCGTTGCATTTCCCTTCCCATACCGATTGTCCGAGTAAAAACAACAACAACAACATCAACAAAAACGACGCGCGAATCTTCGGGCGTTCGGACGCAGCCGGCGCATCTCCATATCGTCACTGATTATCGCAGATGAAGCGATCCAGCACGCGCGGCACATTGTTTACAGCAGCAGAACGCCGCGTTTAGGCCTCCCGATGCTCCTCCACTCGCAACGACAACGACAACAACAACAACATTAACAACAACAGGAACTCGTGTGATTTGCTAAAAGCTGCGGCAAAAGCCATGCCGTGCGATACATTGCAAGCTGATCTATATCCGCGGCATGCGAGAGTATGGCTTTGGTAGAGTCTGCTGAAGCCGCAAGCAGAGCGATCATGGTGACCAACTGATGATGATTATTCCGAGAGCCGTTTTCGTCGCTGTGTCTGTCTCTCTCGCACTCACGGGGCGTCCCGTGTAGGTGTGAGAGAGACAGAGCGACGAAGAACGACTCTCGGAATCAGTCTGCTGGAACGGCGGGGGGTTTAGCCGGTCGCTTCGCGCTCGCCGTTCGCACCTCGACTCCCAACGGGTCGTTGTCGTTATTGGCAGAGAGAGAGAGAGAGAGAGAGAGAGAGAGAGAGAGAGAGAGACGCGCGGAATCGCTCTCCGCAGGCCATGTGGGTGTTGTAGTCGTCAGAGTCGTCACCACTCGTCCAAATTGGAGCCTCGATGGTGATTGGAAAACAATAGCGACAGCGCAGCAGGACCAGGTGTTGCCGCTCGTGTGTTTTGTAAACCTCTCTCTCTCTCTCTCTCTCTCTCTCTCTCTCTCTCTCTCTCTAAAACCTCAAAAAACAATCACACCGAGGCATGCATTTTTGTGATAAAAATTACTGATTGCCTGGCGTCTATTGTACATAAAATCCCCCCCCAATAAATCATTTTGAAAACTAAAACTCACTCACTCTCTCTCTCTCTCTCTCTCTCTCTCTCTCTCTCTCTCTCTCTCTCTCTCTCTTGTTACAGTGGGACTATTTAGTCCTTTTACATGAACCCTCAATAAAAACAATTTCAATTTCAATTTCAATTTCTCTCTCTCTCTCTCCCTCCCTCTCTGTGTGTGTTTTAACCAGTAATGACCGTCTTATCTCTTAAGGGGGGAGACTCGTCTTTAACACCATAATTTTAGCAAATTTCAGGCTTACATGAAAACTATTTCCAATAGATTTGAGGGTCAGGGGGGTTTTCCAATAAAAAGCTGGTTCTTTAAGGTTCATTTTGGAAAAAAAAGTTTGACTCTAGGCCTCATAACCTAGGATCTGTAATCTTTCTGCCAAACCTCGAAAATACGACAAAAATTCACTGCGCGCATGATTTTTGGAGAATGAGGCATCATATCATAAATGTCTTTGTTGCTCCTTCAAAAGGACTCCCGGCACTCTAGATTGAACTAGGATAATTGAAATAGGTGGTTCCTAAGTGCCTGAAACTTACATTTTAAGGTGTACGAAAGAAAGCATTCAAATTTAAACATTTCCATAACCGTTTTCGGCCACTTCCGCTTGTCCGATTGAAGATATCCTAGTTCAGACTGACGGCCTTATGGAGGTGAAACATTGGAAAAATTATGAAGTCAATACAATCAACGGTCTGGCTTAAATCGTGCGCGCAAGACCCAAAATATTGCAATTGAGTAAAATGGCTCCAAAGTTTGAACGGTCTAACCTATCCTGTGGAAAATAAATTACAAAATGTCGTCCTTTGGCCAAACGGTTTTGAATTTCAAAACCAGCCAGCCACCCAATTCAAGGGTTTGACACAAAGAATTCAAAAAACTCAAAAACAAAAATCTGATTTTTTGAAGGAGAATGACGAGTCTCCCCCCTTAAAACTGGACTGGGAAATGTTCTTTTGGCGTGCCGCCCTGTGCCGCTGGCCGGCCATGCGATCGCAATGTGTCATCCGCGCGATCGGCTCGGGTGTCCGAGTGGTCCACGTGGCGTCCGCGATGCATCACCGCGGATGACGTCACGCGGGTCACCTTGGTGCCGAGAGAGAGAGAGAGAGAGAGAGAGAGAGAGAGAGAGAGAGAGAGAGAGAGATGCCTAGTTGCAAATCAATCGGCCCAAATCGGCCCACTGATCCGGAAGGTGAACGAAAGACACAGCGCGTTTAAGGAAGGTGTTGTTAAACGCAAAAAACCTCACAGAAAAACAATTATTTCAATTTTGTAAATTTTTTAATTTTTTTTTGAAAAGGAATTGGCAGTTTGCCCGCGCGGTTCGCTAGTGGGCCCGCTGGGTGTGGCGCTAAGTGACTCTTCACTCGTTGTGTCGGACGGCGCACCGACGGAGCGGCCGCGAAAATTGACCGATTGCCATGAAGGCCGCTCGGCGAGCGCAGCCACCCACACCCACGCCAAGCCGGGCCACTACACTCTATACTACACCGCGGAACCGCTTGGGCCGATCCAGACACGCTAATCCCAAGCCTCAAGGCAGCGAGTAAAGCCAAAAAGTGCTTAAAACAACAACAACAACAATAACAACAACAATAACAACAACAATAACAAGAGCAACAACAACAAAAAGTAAGCCATAGATGAATCACCTGTCAATCCCATAAGATTCACATCCCCAACACTGAAAATGTAAAAAATAAAAGATTTTAATAATTTCCCCTGCGGAAAGAAAAAAAGTGAAAAGGAGGTCAAAAGCAGACAAGCCCCGTTCCAACTTTTTGTTTGTACCTCGGAAAACGGCGAGCTTAAAAAAGCGGAAAGCTCATACAAAAAATTAGGAAATTAAATTGTCAAATTAATTTCTTTCAAATTCGTTTCAAATGCCTCGTCTTTATAAAACAAACTTAAGAATTTAACTTGGTTTTTTCATTTTTTTAAATTTTCTGTTTTTTTTTTGAGGTGGCAGAGGCTTTTGCCATGCTTCTCGCTGCGTGCATGCGAAACGAGACTAGTTTTCGATATCTCGCTCCTCGAGAGCGCTGCCAGTGCGATCGCATTTTCCCCGGCATGCGTGGATCGCCGCGTGGCCGCGTTTCCCTTTCACCGTCAAACGGGTATCAATGCACCCAAATGGCTCGCGTAGCCACGCCGGCGATACCACTCTCGATACTCTCGATACCGGTGGCGATAGTATCGAGTCGTGCCGCCTTCCGCTTTGCTCGCATTGCTGCCAGTGGACTGAAGAGTCGTCGCTCTGTCTCTCTCGCACTCGTGGGGCGCGCCGTGTCGGTGCGAGAGAGACAGAGCGACGAAAACGACTCTCGGATTCAGTCTGCAGCGCGCTGCCAGCGAAAGGGGCGCCACACAGTGGGCCAGAAGACCGGCGGAGGCGGCCAAAACTCCCAGACGCGGTTTCAGCTCCAGAGTCGCTAAATGGGACTCGAACCGAACGTGTGACCCCACTAATGGATTGCTCGTTCGGAGAGCAATCCATTGGTGGGGTCACACGTTCGGTTCGAGTCCCATTTAGCGACTGGAGATCAAAGCGCGTCTCGAGTTTTGTCCGCCTTCGCCGGTCTTCTGGCCCACTGTGCGCCACTCGCCGTCATCTTCTCGAAACTCATTGCGGCTACTCGGCACGAAGGATCGCCGCCTTTCAGCGTCAGACAAAAGATTCGCGCGCCGTTCGGCCGATCGGTCCGACAGAGCGTTTCGAAAGGAAACCCGCGGCGATACCCCGCGCGTCACGGGAAATCGAGGGAAGTCATTCGCGCGTCCGGGGTATCACCGCGCGCATCGCACAGTGGGCCGGAAAAGCGGCGACGGCGGCCTTCCAGACGCGTTTTGAGCTCCAGAGTCGCTAAATGGGATTCGAACCGAACGTGTGACCCCACCAATGGATTCCTCGTTCGGAGAGCATTCCATTGGTGGGGTCACACGTTCGGTTCGGTCCGGTTCCATTTAGCGATGCAGCGAAAGAAATTTATTCTTTTTCGTGTTCCGTCGTGAACGCAACTCAAGCAGCGACGGGGCGACTTTGCGCTCGGCTGAGTAGTGTAGTGGCATCTCAGGTGACCCGCAGCCCCTAGCAAGGAAGAGCGTCGCCAGAGGAGGATTCGAACCTAGGTCCTCTGCCGTGACAATACGAAATATCTCTGGCAGTGTACCGCACCTTGACCGTGGCGGACAGGGACCAGGGTCCCCAAACTACACGCAACTCCCACGCTCGTTTTGCCTCAACTTTTATTTTGTTGTGATTCGTTTTTTCCCGAAGCCAGAATCACTGTCACGCACCCTTCCGGGGGGGACTCACACCCTTCTCGCCAGAGAGAGAGAGAGAGAGAGAGAGAGAGAGAGAGGGAGAGAGGAGAGAGAGAGAGAGAGAGAGAGAGAGAGAGAGAGAGAGAGAGAGAGGAGAGAGAGAGGAGAGAGAGAGGAGAGAGAGAGGAGAGAGAGAGGGAGAGAGAGAGAGAGAGAGAGAGAGAGAGAGAGGAGAGAGAGAGAGAGAGAGAGAGAGAGAGAGAGAGAGAGAGAGAGAGGCGAGGACGGTGTGACAAACTACGGACGGCCTAGGTGTGCGTCGCTGAGCGTGGCGGGGCGTGGTGGGGTGGGGCGGGGCGCGGTGGGGCGTGGCGGGGTGGGGCGGGGCGTGGTGGGGCCAGGCGGGGCGAAGCGGGGCGCGGGGCGAAGCGGGGTGGGGCGCGGGGCGGGCGTGGTCCCCAGGGAGCGTGGCGAGAACCTGTTTGCTCGATACCCCTGATAGCCCCGGATGCTGCAATATAATGTGATGATGCTTGATGTATGCGCACGTACGCTTGCTCTCTCTCTCTCTCTCACTCTCTCTCTCTCACTCACACTCTCACTCACACACACACACACACGCACACACACAGAGGGCCGAGGGACTTGAAACAGTTGCAAGCGCGAGTACGACATCTTAAGTACAGTCGACCAAAACTGACCGCAGAGAGGCCGGTGTGAAGTCAGGAGGGTGTCGTGTGGGAAAATGTGTCACCCAGAGACGCGCACTTCCCTCCGAAAGAAACGCTCCTTTTTCTTGCGTCCTTTTATTTCAAATCTGTGCGCCACGGTTGGCGACCCTGCTGGGGGTAATTACGAGGACCGGATGCGTTGTCGGCCGGCTGATTCCGAGAGTCGCTTTCGTCGCTCTGTCTCTCTCGCACCTGCACGGGACGCCCCATGAGTGCGAGAGAGACAGAGCGACGAAAACGACTCTAGGAATCGGTCCGCTGGAGTGGACTGGAGTGGCCCGGCCGGCCTGTGATGATGAACCCGACATAAATGATACGAAGACCGGCCGGCGGACGGACGGACGGACAGACAGACAGACAGACAGACAGACAGACAGACAGACAGACAGACAGACAGACAGACAGACAGACAGACAGACAGACAGACAGGGCTGGTCACACTGTCACCCTTCCGTCCGCTTCCGGTGTCTTCGAGTAAAGTGCGGCCGGCCGCAATGCGGGCGGCGCGGTGCCGATGACGTCACGGTCAGTGCTGCCACTCGAGTAGCAAGAACGATGCACAGGGTCGAAAGGGTTGCCATCCTCAGCCTGTGTGTCAGGCAAGACTGGGGTTTCGCTCTTGAAACGTCGTCGAGTAGGCTGCCGGCTGGGCACAGTGGGCCAGAAGACCGGTGTTTGGCGGTCAAAACCCCGGACGCGTTTTGAGCTCCAGAGTCGCTGAATGGGGCTCGAACCAAACGTGTGACCACACCAATGGATTCGTCTCCGAAGGAGGAATCTATTGCGGGGTCACACGCTCGCTTCGAGTCCCATTTAGCGAGTCTGAAGCTCAAAACGCGTCCAGAGTTTTGGCCGCCTCCACCGGTCTTCTGGCCCACTGTGCTGAGATTGGCAACCCTTTCGACACTGCCACTAGTGTGGCAGCACTGCGCGCGCTTGGTTCATACGCCGCGGCCAACCACTGCACTGTCTCTTTTCGCCCGATCGAGTTTCGAGGCCGTCAAGGCACCAGAGGTGTCCTAGGAACAAAAGAGGCGTGCGGTCGGGATGGAAAAAAAGCACAACCGATGCGCGAAAAATTGGTAAAAATGAGGGAAAGAAAAATGAAAATCACGCGAGCGCCAGCTGGGATTCGAACGCACGCGCACGCGTGCTGCGCCTGCAGTGGAGGAGGGAGAGGGCCTCGCAGAGGACCGCCGAGATAATGGCACGATTAGTAGAATATTACCGCGATAGGAGCGGATCTCTGCTGCCGCCCTTTGCCACATGGTGGGTGTGTGTTTGTGTGTGTAGGTGTGTGTGTGGGTGTGTGTGTAGGTGTGTGTGTAGGTGTGTGTGTGTGTAGGTGTGTGCGTGTGTGAGTAGGTGTGTGTGTGTGTGTGTGTGTTCGTTTTTTTCGATGCGGTGTATAACAGCATCCAAGCCAGGTAACGTACCGGCCGGCCAAGCACTCGGGGGTCGGCCTCGGCCAAGGTAACCAAGGCCTCGCCCCAGCCTCGCCCCCTCGAACCCATCATTACGCGCTGCACACACACACACACACACACAGCCGCAGGGTCCGCCTCCTCCGCCACGGGGAGCACGGTAACACCGAGACATGCGATTTCTCCAGACCTTCCAGGTGACAAGAATCGGAGGCATTGCTTGACTTTTTTTCTCAAGAGAGGTCTGGAGAAATGAGATGGGCAACCGAAGTCTTGCCAATCGGCGAGCCGCAGTCTGGGTTGTTTTCCGCTGAGCGCTCGACAAAACGCAAGTCTCCGGCGTCTGCCGGGCCACGCCCGGCCCGCTCCGTGAGGCGCGCGCCGGAGGATTAGCATGCTCCCCCCACCACTTCTGCCAGTGCGGCCTGGGGAAAAGTCAAGTCTCCGCTCGGCCATCGTCAGCAGCTCGGTCGCCTTTCTTCTTGCCCGTTCTCGCTGTTCGGCGATCGGTCGATGTGGATTTTGCATACGCACTGTTGCCTATTCTCATACTCTCTCTGACTTATCTGCAACTGCTTTCTCGCCATTTGGCGGTTGGTCGCTCTCGTTTCTGCATTCGTACTTTTGCCGTTCTAGCGGCCGTGGCGGGGTTTTTAGCAAAGAAATGGGTCGAGATTGAAATGTACATTTATTGATGTAGTTAACACAGTAATTAATTTCATCAGTTAAAAAGAAAACTTGGCAGAAAGTTCTAATTGAAAAGTGTACTGTAGCTTAACTAAACACAAAGATTTTTCACATTTCGCTGAAATAGTTCATGCAGAATGTTGGTTGATATTGACATCTCTACACCACTTGTCTGAAATGAGGAAAATCAAAGATAAAATAAAATAAATGCATGTTATGTAAGTAATGATAACATGAGGGGAGAATCTACCTACATTTTGTTTAAATATTCCATAAAATAGTTGTTGTGATGAAGTGGACTGTGCACTGTGGACATGTCCTGATCAAAACAAAACAAAAGTTGTTTTCAGTGGCTGCTGCGGGAAACATGAAGTTATAAATGTGGTGATCCATAACTACATATTACTCCATTTCTTGATAAGTTGTCTGGAATGAGGACAATAAAAGAAAAACAATCAATAAATTAATCAATTAAATATGTTATGATTAAATAGAAGAGGAGAGTACTCACATTTTATAAAAATAGTCCATAAAAGAAGATGCAGTGATGAGTTGGACTCTATCGACAATGTTGAGATCAGAACAAAACAAAAATAGTCTTCAGTGACTGCTTCGGGCAACTCAAAACCAAAATGTGGTGTCCAGAATCATAAACGAGGGCCACATATTGCTCCATCTCCAAATTACTTGTCTGAAATGAGGAGATTAAAAGAAAAACAATCAGATAAGTCATAATTTAAATAAGATAGGGTGAAACAAGAGATGAGTCTACTTACATTTATCTAAAATTGTAAACAAAAGGAGATGTAATGAAGTTAGTGACTCCGTCAATAACTGGAAGTCCAGAACAGACATATTTTTATGTTCTTGAGCTGTTGCCGCCCACTTCAAACAACAAGTGGGGTTCTCAATTATAATCGAATTATCATTTTCATGCCGCCTCTTCAATGTAACCCTAGAATTTAGTAAAATAAATTAAAAACAAATCAAGACAACAGTATGAAGAGTTCTTCAAAAATAAGTGGAAAAGCGGATTACTTACATTGTAATTAAAGAGTAATGACATAAATTATGAGAAGCTCTGGATGGGCCGGCTTTAACCAAACTTAAGGCAGATATCAAACATAGCAGTTGTCAGCCAAGACTTTCTGGGGTGCTAGAACAAAAGAAATAAATTAGTATCGAAGAGAAGAGGTATTATCATACTAAAAATATAAGGTTTAGAAAATAGGGGGCAAAAGACCAGCTAGAGTGTGTTAATTTTTCAAGAAAACCCAATGACTTTGATAAGAGAAATACTTTGAGGGCAATTTTATTTGTTTGAAAGAAATTAGAATTTGTAGAAATAGAACAAACATAGCAACAACAGTCGATGAGGATTAAAAAGTACTGAAATAAATTGCTTTTGGACTTATGGCTGGAGAGGTTATGTTTCCTTTGGAGCAGATAACAACCATTCTTTCACTTCAAGCCAATCAGAAACTAAACCGAAAGCTTTAAATTACACAGTCTGTTTGCTACAAATTAAAATAACGAACACTTCACGGTAACATATAAATAATTGTTCATGAAACTAAAGAAAGGACCCGGCGAGAGTAGGCGACGAGACAGCCAACGCGGATAACGTTTGTCAATGTTTCCAATTTTAAAAATGTATTTTAAACAAATATTAAAACAAAATATAAATCAAATGCACATTACTTACCTTCTCATTCCTCCAAAACAACGATCTTAAATTGGTATTGAATACCGTGCTGGTCCGATCGTCCGACAAGAGATGCCACAGGCTAGGCCACCGTAAGGGAGCAGGAGGGGAGGGGGAGGGGGGGAGCCGACAGCCTACGGGGAACGGGAGGCGGAGGGGAGGGGGTAGTGAGCAGTGACGTAGCAGCCCGCCGGGCCCAGCCCAGCCGAGCCGCACCTGGGCGAACGCCATCCGGAGACTTGACTTTTCGCATGACCCCAGAATCCCAGCGCTCTCTTGACTTTCGATCTTGCGTTTCCGCAATGCTGTGTTGGAAGCTGCTAGTTGGCAAGTCTCGCTTGACAAAACGCAATGGCTCGGCAGATTCGCAAGATGTCGCTGGAGAAAATTGTCAAGTCTACACTTGCCCACAGAGAATCGCATGTCGCGATGTTACCGTGAGGATGTGGAGGGTGGAGCGGCACGCGCCGGCCCCACCTGCTGTCCGTCTCTCTCGCACCTGGGCCGGCCCGTCCACAGTGGGCCAGGAGACTGGAGGCGGCCAAAACCCCGGACACGTTTTGAGCTCCAGAGTCGCCAAATGGGACTCGAACCGAACGTGTGACCCCACCAATGGATTGCTCTCCGAACGAGGAATCCATTGGTGGGGGTCACACGTTCGGTTCGATTCCCATTTAGCGACTCTGGAGCTCAAAACGCGTCACGGCGCGCAGCGGGAGCGACGGAGAGGGACGCCAGACGGCGGCGGCGGGGCGTTTCGTTTCGGAGGCGTCGGCCGGTCTAGGACCCGCCAGGTGGCCAGTGGGGCGGCGTGGGGGCGGCCGAGGGGGCTCTGGAAGCACCCCGACACGGACCGCGTGGACCCGAACCAGATTACACGAGCCACCCGCAGTCTGATAGGCACAGCGCGGTCTGTCCGTCTGTCTGTCCGTCTGTCTGTCCGTCTGTCTGTCTGTCTGTCTGTCTGTCCGTCTGTCTATCTGCCTATCTGTCTGTCTGTCTGTCTGTCTGTCTGTCTGTCTGTCTGTCTGTCTGTCTGTCTGTCTGTCCGTCTGTCTATCTGCCTATCTGTCTGTCTGTCTGTCTGTCTGTCTGTCTGTCTGTCTGTCTGTCTGTCTGTCTGTCCGTCCGTCCGCCCGTCTGTCTGTCCCTTCGTCTGCCAGAGTCTGTGCGGGTGTGGTTCCAGGGTTCCAGACTGCCGCCAAGCTGCCGCAGCTGTCGCCAAGGGTCACCACAGCTGCCCGGGCGACCCGGGCACGAGCCGAAGGGATGGGGGCGGATACGCTGGTGGAGACATCCGAGTAAAGAAAGGAAAATGATAGGTTGTGACATTGACAAAGAAACGAGAAAGAGCGAGAGGGACAGAGGTCAAGGACCGTAAACGACAATGTCGAAATTTTCACAAATAACGTTACTGGAGAAAACTGCATTGTCGACCGCGACGGCGGTTGGGCTCCAGGGTGCACAGCTGATTCCGATAGTCGTCACCGTCGCTCTGTCTCTCTCGCACTCACGCGGCGTCCCGTGGAGGTGCGAGAGAGACAGAGCGACGAAAACGACTCTCGGAATGAGTCTGCTGCTGGCCGGTAGGGCACGAGGTGCGCCACCACCGCGAGGCTCTCGGCGAGGGTGGCCACGCCACGCCACGCCCTGCCTTCCAGTGCAGGCGGCGCGCGACCGGCGCGTGCGTCGACATGCTCTGGTGGCCGCCTTCGCCGCGGCAGCGCGGCACTCCTCCAGTTGTCCGCGTATCCGGTGGCACGGCGTGGCACGCCACTGTAAAGCATGGCATGACATGGCACGGCACTGTAGGGCTCGGCCACGGTCCGCGGGGCAATATGCCTCCCCAGCGACGCAGAAAAACAGCCCCGCGGCCACAATGGAGGGCAAAGCGGCGACGGGTGGCGCCTCACAGTGGGCCAGAAGACCGGTGGAGGCGGTCAAAATTCCGGACGCGTTTTGAGCTCCAGTCCAGGGTCGCTAACTGGGACTCGAACCGAACGTGTGACCCCACCAATGGATTGCTCTGATGAGCACAAATTTGACGTACCTTTGACACTTGAAAATGGTGAAATGAAGTCCAGTTGGCAGACCGCCGAGAAACCCCAGTAGCAGTCTGATCCCGAGGGTCGCTGTCTCTCTCGCACTCGTGGAGCGCCCAGTGTAGGTGCGAGGGAGACACAGCGACGGAGCGGTCCGGGTGCAGTCCGCTTGACACGGCTCGTTGGGGTCATTTTAACGGCTGGGCGACGCAGTGGTGCCGAACGGGATGCCACGCCACTGGGAAGAACCACGTGACCGCAGCGCCGCGCCGCCGCAGTTACTCGCTTGTTGTTCCCGGAGGACGTCGCGCTCGTCCCCAGCGCGTACCGCACGGCACACTGCGAGCTTGCATGGCGGAAGGGTGGAGGAACGCCCCCGCACAGTGGGCCAGAAGACCGGTGGAGGCGGACAAAACTCCAGACGCGTTTTGAGCTCCAGAGTCGCTAAATGGGACACGAAGCGAACGTGTGACCCTACCAATGGATTGCTCTCCGAACGAGGAATCCATTGGTGGCGTCACACGTTCGGTTCGAGTCCTGTTCAGCGACTCTGGAGCTCAAAAAACGCGTCTAGAGTTTTGTCCGCCTCCACCGGTCTTCTGGCCCACTGTGCGCATTGCGCAACAGAGTCCGACGGCTTACGGCCGATTCATCTCGCCATCCTCCTCTAATCTAGTTTGAAATGTGGCCAACGCCCCTGGTGTAACGTGAGAACGAGAGAGACGGACGCCGAGAGGAACAAAGAGAAACAAAAGAACGCACAAAAGACGGCAGGCGAGGCCCGCGCGCGTGGACAACCCGAGACAACGCGACTCAATCAAATCGGACGGGGCCCACCCGATGCCCTCGCCTTGACAAACGCCGTCCGTCGAATGCCCCAGCAACAACAACAGCAGGAACAACAACAACAGCAGGAACAACAACAGCAACAACAAAAACTAACAACAGCAACAACAAAAACTAACAACAGCAACAACAAAAACTAACAAACAAAAACTGACAACAGCAACAACAAAAACTAACAACAACAATATAAACAACAACAACAACAACAGCAACATCAAAAACTAACAACAACAATTTAAACAACAACAGAAACAACAAAAACGACAACAACAACGCAGAATTTATGCAAATTTGTATTTCCAAATTTTCAAAAAAATAAAACAAAAACGTATATTAAAACAACTTCATTTTTTTTTGTTTGAGTAAGTTACGTTGTTTACCGGTTGGAGACGCAATGGTGTGGCGCGCGGCAACGGTGCGGACGCGCGGAGAGGGTTAGTGCGTGCGTGTGGGTGGAAGGGGGAGGGGAAAGGGGGAAGGGGGAATGCGGGGGGGGGGCCAGGGGGAGAGGAGGGGGAGGGGGAGAGGAGGGGAAGGGAGGGGGGGGGAGGGAGAGGTCGCGTGCGGAAGAATGCCTACATTATGCGGGCGAGTTGCATCGTGGAATATGGACAAACGGACATCATCGAAGGCATTAACCCGAAGGGAAGGAGAGGGAGAGAGAGAGGGAGAGAGAGGGAGAGAGAGAGGGAGGGAGAGAGAGAGAGATAGAGAGGGCAAGAGTTGCGGAGGGTCAGTGCGCGGGCCGCGGTCGCATCTGCGACGACACGAGGGTCGTCATGGTGGACGGACGCATTATATTGTACACGGAAAAAAAGAATTTGTTGTGACAACGAAAATGTATGTTGATTTTGGGATAGCAAAAAAAAAGTTGTTAGACGTACTATAAATTTGTTGTGAGAACGAACACTTTGCTCTCACGACAAATTATTCGTCAGGAGTACAAACATTCATTTTTATTGTGTTTAGTACTCCTGACGATAAAGTTCGTTGTCAGAACGAAATGTTCGTTCTGACAACAAATTGGTAGTACGCCCAACAACTTTTTTTAGCTATCCCAAAATCAACATACATTTTCGTTGCCACAACAAATTCTTTTTTTACGTGTAATCAGAACAGCATGCTTCCTCCTACAGTCGAGTAAGCTCACTTCGTCCCAAAGAGGAGTTTCACGGTATCATCGAGACGCGTTTTGAGCTCCAGAGTCGCTAAATGGGACTCGAACCGAACGTGTGACCCCACCAATGGATTGCTCTCCGAACGAGGACTCCATTGGTGGGGTCACACGTTCGGTTCGAGTCCTGTTCAGCGACTCTGGAGCTCAAAACGCGTCTAGGGTTTCGGCCGCCTCCACCGGTCTTCTGGCCCACAGTAGACATGTGCGCCGCGCCGCCGCTGCGCCGCCGCCGACAAATTTTACCACGCCGCCGCCGCTGACCAAAAATTTGCGGCGCGCCGCCGCGCCGCCGCCGATGATTTTATCGGCGGCGGCGTCGGCGTCGCGACCTTAAATGCCCAAAATATTTGCATTTCCATCAGCAGCGAGCGCCCAGGGATAGGCAACCCGACGAGCACGTTCTCCGCCGCCAGAACAAATTCTTATTGGAGTGTTTAAATTGCTTAATTTTTACCTTTGTAACGAAAATAGTCCACCCTAAAGAACTAGTCCATCAAATTGTGTTTTATTTTCATGGGCATGTTTTTAAATTGAGAAAATAGACCAAATTTAAGTCAACCACGCCGCCCGCGCCGCCGCCGCCGCCGCCGATCAAGACATCGGCGCAGACGCCGGCGTCGCCGCCGCCGCCGGCTAAATTTCGGCCAAACGCCGCCGCCGATGAAAATGCGGTCGGCGCACATGTCTAGCCCACAGTGCACCAGTAGGACACGTCGAATTGAATTTGCTTCCGGCGGACGGCGTCCGCATGGTAACCATGGTCACCGCGCGGCCAAACGTGTTGTTACACATTTCAGGCTCAGCTGCCGGATGTCGACCCAAGCGCCAAGCAATGCACTGGACACCTGCCCACACCACTGTGTGCGTGAGACCGAGTGTGTGTGTGTGTGTGTGTGTGTGTGTGTGTGTGTGTGTGTGTGTGAGTGATTGCGCGTTCGCCGTCAAGGGCCTAACTGCCCCCAACAAGGCAGCCCACCAAGGTATGCGTCCGTGAGGCCACCTCTTCGGCATTGCAGGAGTGGGCCAGCTTACAACATAAGGGAGAGTGGGGTAATTCCGGACACGGGGTAATTCCGGACACTTCGATTTTCACTGGGTTTGAGTGAAGATAACTCAAAAGCCCGCCTAACAGAGGAAGATAATCAGTTTAAAAGGAGAATTCCAAATCGCCAAAGTAGGAGGTCAAACCGTTTGCCTGTGGTCGCTTCACGAAATTTGAGTACCATCAAAAATAGGCAAAAGCTGCATCTTTCCCTCGTATTTCCATGTACTTATCGTAGCTTACCGTCAAGTTCAGTCCCATGACTAAAATTTTATCATATTATATGGTCATTGGACTTTACTTTAGCGTTTCGGGAGTGCTCGTATGGCTCGCCGTTTTCTTACAGTTGAACATCAAAGGTTTTCACTACCTGTGGGGTAAATCCGGACAATAAGGGTTATTTTCTTCAATGTCCCGCATAATGTTAAGGTAGTGGGTTCAAAATTGTGGACATGCATCCCCACCGTTAAGAAGGATACAGAAAGAACGAAAAATAGCATTGCAGCTATGTTTAAGTGCTTTACTTTAGACTGTGTTGTCAATTTAGGGGTTTTGATAGAAATTATTCCTTATAATATGCTTTGAGTAATAATCAAACACTTCAGTTCGCAGCAAATGTCCTTGAACGCCTTCTAAAAGCATGCCTCACATCAAAACAAGCGAAAGTAAGCTCGAGTAGTGTCAAATTTTAAGGTCGTCCGGCATTGCCCCATAGGTCGTCCGGAATTACCCCAGCCTGGGGCAATTCCGGACACGTGCAGGGCTTTTGTGAGGCGCCTATATCTCCCTAACCGTTGCTGAGATTTGGCTTTCATGTATACCATTTTGAAGGTAAAGGTCCATACTTTACTCTCCTGTCATAACATTTAACCCAAGAAGCATATTCAAGCTCAAAGACCAAAAAGAAAAAAAGCGTCCGGAATTACCCCACTCTCCCTTACGTGCTTGAGACCGCCTGATACCATGTAATTTGACTTCTGTAGACTGTACTTTGGCGCCCTTTCGTCGTTTTCGACTGTGTTCAATGTTTGAGCTGCCGCAGGCAACTCTCCTTCAGTTTCATGGGGCGTTCGCAGGGCGTTCCACAGTGGGCCAGAAGACCGGTGGAGGCAGCCAAAATTCTATACGCATCTTGAGCTCCAGAGTCGCTAAATGAGACTCGAACTGAGCGTGTGACCCCACCAATGGATTGCTCGTTCGAAGAGCAGTCCATTGATGGAGTCACACGTTCGGTTCGAGTCCCATTTAGCGACTCTGGAGCTCAAAACGCGTCTAGAGTTTTGGCTGCCTCCACCGGTCTTCAGGCGCACTGTGCGTTCGCCAAAGCTGACTCCCGTGAAAGCCTCTGGCACGCAGAGTGGCGACGCGTCGGAAATTTAACCAATGACGCGACGAGTGGCAATGATTTCAACGTGACGTCACTCGGCGTGTGAGAGACTTGTCGCTCTGGTAACGCGAGCGCGGGGTATCGCCGCTCTATCTCTCTCGCACCCACGGCGCGCTCCGTACAGGTGCGAGAGAGACAGACGCTACCGGCCAATTGATACCCGCGTTGCTCCACACCACACAGTGGACCAAGACCGGCGGAGGCGGACAAAACTTTTGACGCGTTTTGAGCTATGCAGAGGCGCTAAATGGGACTCGAACCGAACGTGTGACCCCACCATTGAATTGCTCTCCGAACGAGGCATCCCTTGGTGGGGTCACACGTTCGGTTCGACTCCCATCTGGCGACTCTGGAGCTCTAAACGCGTCTCGAGTTTTGGCCGCCTCCACCGGTCATCTGGCCCACTGTGCGCCACCCGGAGATCTCATTCATGAAGTAACCCGTCCTCGCGGCGTTCAGTACCCAGTGTGCGAGAAGGATGGAACGCCCGGCCGAACGCCTTGGCGACCGACGGCGCGTCGTCGGGGTCCTCGGATGCCTGGCGTTCCTGGGATGACAACCGGCACACTGTCGCTCTGTCTCTCTCGCACCTGTACGGAACGCGCCGTGAGTGCGAGAGAGACAGAGCGACCCGGCGGGGCACGCGGCAAAGCAAGAAAGGCGGCAACTTCGGCTACGTGTTTATTTCGTTTTTTTCACGGCACAAAATAATCTGTATCGACTCGTCTGTACACAGCAGCAGCATCACCAACTTAAGACTAAATTTTTTTATTGCTTATTTTCTGAGGGGGAGGGCGTCAAAACTCGTACTGCGAGACGAACAGGTAGAGCTTGGCGACGTTGAGGCCGGCGAAGTAGTTGCCGCTGAACACCTCCATGACGAGGCGCAGCTCCACGTCCTGGGGCCCCGACAGTGGACGCACCAGCGACACCTTGGCCTCGTTTTCGCGGTCCTGGGTGCCGAAGCATCGCGTCGAGTGTTCACGACCACAGTGGGCCAGAAGACCGGTGGGGGCGGCCAAAACCCCGGACGCGTTTTGAGCTCCAGAGTCGCTAAATGGGACTCGAACCGAACGTGTGACCCCACCAAAGGATTGCTCTCCGAACGAGGAATCCATTGGTGGGGTCACACGTTCGGTTCACTGTTAGAAAAAATCTGAAAATTCAGACCACTTTTGTCAGACTTGGTGGTCTGAATCTATTTTTCAGACTTGTTTCAGACTGCTTGTCTGAAAATTTAGCCTTCCTGTATGAAAATTGCGACCTGATCGTCTCAGAACTTGAATTCAGACCAGCGCAGTCTGAAAATTGAGATGATTAAGTCTGAAAATTCAGACCAACCCAAGATTTCGTTTGTCCGCTAGATGGCGCGCATGTTGTGGAACATACCTACTTCTGTTTTAAAGGCTTCTAATGTGAAAATATATTAGTTGAAAAGTTCCAAATTGACAAGACTTCATCGGCCATATGAGAACCATTTTCTGCTGCAAGATTTATCTCCGTAATATGGGTGGGAGTTGAACAATCCACATTTTAATTTACCTCTCGCGGGTGGCTCCGTGTCGCCATTTCCTTGGGTGCCACAGGCCGGCCTCCCGAAAGGCAGGGAAAAGTTCAGAGGATCTTCTCTCCCTCAACACAATTTTTACTCTATGTTGTCCTCTCTGGAAGTTCACACACACCTGAGATTCTTCCTGTCATATTTATCATGTCACGAACCTTTCAGTTAACAATTTCCATACAGGACTGAATTTTCAGACCACCAAACTCTTAAATGCAAGACTCTCCAGTTCTGAATTTTCAGACCATCTAAACGGTCTCAATTTTCAGACCTCTCAAGTCTGTTAATAACTTCTGACCAATTTAGTCTGAATTTTCAGACTTTTTTTTAACAGTGTTCGAGTCCCATTTAGCGACTCTGGAGCTCAAATCGCGTTTAGAGTTGTGGCCGCCTGCACCGATCTTCTGGCCCACTGTGCACTTGCAAAAAGAGAGGCGAAAAATTGAACCGCCGGCGGCGGGGATCGAACCTGCGTGAGTCGGAAGTCGTTGCGCGTGGCCTGCGGGATGCCGGCGGGGGCGCGCGCGCCGTCCAGCTCGAGCGTGAAGGTGGTGTGCGCGTCCACTGTGGGGGAGCCGCGCATGAAGAACAGGTCCAGCACGCCGCTCGTGGGGATCGTCATGTTGGACACGAGCGACATGAAGTTGGACGTGATGAGCAGCGGCTGCCGCCGGCACTCCGTGTCGTCCGGCGGGCAGACGCGCGCCGCGCGCCGGCACCGGCTGCGGAGGGACAGAGCAGTCGCGGGTTCAACTCCCAGCCAGCGCCACCAAATATTCAATTTTTTATGTTTGGAAGCTGATGCTTTTCGAGGGTGGAACAGCTTCCCACATTCATTGTACAAAATTTGACTACATCCCACATTCAGGCAACATGTGTGCCAGAAACGCCAGAAATCTTGCACATCCTTGCACATTCACACAATCATTGTACACAAAATTTTACGGTGGGTCACCCCTCGATGCTTTCTTTCTACCGCAAACAAGTGCTGTCACAAGAAGCTCAGATCTTATGCCTGATGAGCAGCCGGGCTTGGCGCAACCCTTTCGACATCGGTGCATAGAATCGATGCACCAATTGAGTGATCATCTGACAAACAACGTATCTTCTTATGGAATCCCACTGTAGATACACTGTTATGTACGAATGCCACGTCGTGGGAGTTTTCACTGGACCGAAAAGTGTTACACGTGGAGACTTCAACGCACACGTCCGTACCGTCCGTAACGCTCCAACACCACCGCATCATTTAAGTTTTTAAAATAACCGATAAGTGTGAAGAATTTGTGTGCGTTTTTTCTAGTGGGCCAGAAGACAGGTGGAGGCAGTCAAAATCCAGGACGTGCTTTGCGCTCGAACTGAGGGTGTGACCCCACCAACGGATTCCTCGTTCGGAGAGCAATCCATTGGTGGGGTCACACGTTCGGTTCTAGTCCCATATGGCGACTCTGGAGCTCGAAACTCGTCCGGGGTTTCGACCGCCTCCGCCGGTCTTCTGGCCAACTGTACTCACTTCTTCTGCGCCAGGTCCTGCTTGTAGCCGTCGGGGCAGCGCACCGAGTTGCAGCGGAACGAGCCCTGCATGTTGAGGCACACTTCTCCGGGTGCGCGGCACTCCCTGCCGGTGGCACACTCGTCGATGTCTGCGGAGGACAGGCAAGACAGTCAGAATGTATTGTCGCGAAGAAATCCTACGACGCACCCGTGTGGAAAGGGTTGCCAACCTCAGCCTAGGCAACATCCTCGGCTCGACAAGTTGCCTTGCACGCAGGGTGAGATTGGCAACCCTTTCGACAAGGGTGCGTCGCACAGTGGGCCAGAAGACCGGTGGAGGTGGCCAAAACCCTGGACGCGTTTTGAGCTCCAGAGCCGCTAAATGGGAGTCGAACCGAACGTGTGACCCCACCAATGGATTGCTCTCCGGACGAGGGTTTTGGCCACTTCCACTGTCCCAGATGCACTTCCCTTACCCGAGCAACTCCTGCCGTCCCTGCCGAGGCGGTAGCCGGGCGGGCAGCTGCACTTGTAGTGCCCCGGCGTGTTGTGGCATTCCCAGCCGCAGATGCGCCTGTCCTTGTTCACCGTGCACTCGTCGATGTCAACGCAGGTCCTGGAAAACAAATTAAATTTTCAATACAAATTTAGAAATGAATTTCCAGGCGCTGGGATGAACTCAAATCGTGGCCGATAGCCAAGCTAGGCAGGCTCCTGTCTGCAACCCTTCCGACACTGTTGTGAATTGGGAATTTTGGCAGCCACTGGTTTGCCTCACCTGTTGTCAGTGTGCAGGTAGAAGCCACGGTTGCAGGAACACCGGAACGCGCCCCAGACGTTGATACACTGCTGGTCGCACAGGCCGGGCGTCTCAGCGCACTCGTCCACGTCTGGCGCGAACAACAACAATGACGTCATCACTGTCGCTAAATCGAAGTTGAGGTCGATGGAACGTGGAAACTAGCTCACCGTCGCAGTTTTTGCCGCGGCCCTGCTTGAAGCCCGGCTTGCAGTTGCACCGGTAGGAGCCGATGGTGTTCTCGCAGGTCGCCAGGTCCGAGCAGGCCTGCAGAAAAGACACCAGTTTAAGTTCAACTTCCGGTCCACCCGGTGCGCAGTGGGCCAGAAGACCGGCGCCGGCGGCCAAAACTCTAGACGCGTTTCGAGCCCCAGAGTCGCTAAACAAGACTCGAATCGAACGTGTGACCCCACCAATAGATTCGTCGTTCGGTTCGAGTCCTGTTCAGCGACTGTGGAGCTCAAAAAGCGTCCGGGCTTTTGGCCGCCTGCATCGGTCTTCTGGCCCACTGCGCGGCGGCGGGGATTCGAACCCGCGACCTTACCTGTCGGGGGAACCGCGCGCATTCGTCGACGTCCACGCAGTCGTTGTTGGCGTCCAGGGCGTGGCCGGCCGGGCACTGGCACTGGTAGTTGCCCACCCTGTTCTGGCACGTCTGCCCCGGCTTGCAGGAGTGCGTCCCCAGGGCGCACTCGTCCTCGTCTGCAGGCAGAGATCAGCTCGCTTGACTAATGCCGAGAGTCGTTTTCGTCGCGCTCTCTCTCTCTCTCTCTCTCTCTCTCTCGCTCTCGTACGGGACGCCCCTTGAGTGCGAGAGAGGCAGAGCGACGGAGGCAACGTTCGGAATCAGTGGGTAGAGTCACGCACGGAGCGCCTGGCGGGTAGGCCACCCATTCGACGTGCTGTGAGATGGGTGGCCTGCTTCAAGGCGCTCTGTGCCGCCATGGAGCGCCTGGTAGGTAGGCAACCCATCCAGCATAACGTGCTTGGGGGTTGCCCGCCTGAACGGCGTTCCCTGTGCCGCTAGGGTTGCCACCCATCCTGCTCCACCTGGTGTGGATTGCCTGTCTGAACGGCGATCCCTGTGACGCTAGGGTTGCCACATAGGTAGTCGGCAACCCTTCCGACACAGATGCATCGTGTGGATCTTTGTCCACTTCCGTGACCACACTGTTAGGAACCCACCGACGCAGCGGTCGCCTTCCGGTGTGGGGACGAAGCCGGGCCTGCACTGGATGCGGTACTCGCACAGGTAGGAGCCGGGGGTGTTGATACACTGCTTGGCACGGCCGCAGGGGCTGCCGATGCTGCACTCGTCCACGTCTGCAACGCCAGAAATGCAAGTGAGGACACTGTACAAAGTTCATAAACTTGAAGCATGCTTCTCATTTAGGGTTATGCCAGTGTCGTAGGTGCATTCGAACTGTGCCATGCCCATTCGCGGTCAGTGTTACTGTAAGTACATTGGCGCACATGCTGAGTGGACAGTCATCCACTTCAGATTAGACTTTCGATTCTCTCGCCGGGGATAGTTGACGAGGAAGTAATTCGCCCGGACTGGGGTCTTGGTCGTAATGAGGGCTTGGTGATGACTGGGGCCTCGGTGACGGTGACAACGGAGACCTCGGCAACGACGTTGTCGGTGGGGAGCTCGTCGACGGGGAGCTCCGTGGCGGAGCACAGTGTGCCATACGACCGGCGCTGGCGGCCAAAGCTCTACACACGTTTTCAGTTCTAGAGTCGCTAGATAGGACTCAAACCGAACGTGTGACCCCACCAATGGACTGCTCTCCGAACGAGGAATCCATTGGTGGGGTCACACGTTCGGCTCGAGTCCCATGTAACGACTCTGGAGCTCAAAACGCGTCTAGAGTTCTGGCCGCCTCCGCCGGTCTTCTGGCCCACTGTGGTTCTTACCGATGCACTCGCCGGTGCCGGGCGCCACGCTGAAGCCGGGGTCGCACTCGACGCGGCGGCACTCGCCGGACGCGTGCAGCACCTGGCCGTCGTCGCAGTGCTTGCGCTCGCAGCGGAACGAGCCCTGCGTGTTGCGGCACGCCCAGGTGGGGCCCGACTCGCGGCAGTTGTCCGTGCCCATCTCGCACTCGTTGTCGTCTGCGGACGGCCGGCGGGGCGCAGCGTGGAGCGTGGCGCGCAGCAAGGAGCGGAGCGCATGCAAAAGGCACGGTTACAGCGAGAAAAAGTTGGGTTAGGGGTCGGTCCGTGGCGAGGCTAGGTTAGAGTGTGGTGGTAGGGAGCGGTGTGGTTGGGTTAGAGTGTGGTGTTAGGGTGGTGAGGTTGGGGTGGTGAGGTTAGGGTGGTGAGGTTAGGGTGGTGAGGTTAGGTGATGTCAAGGTGGTGAGGTTAGGGTGGCGGGTGAGGGTGGTGAGGTTAGTGTGGCGAGGTTGGTGGTGAGGTAAGGGTGGAGAGGTTAGGGTAAATTGGTTGCGTGGTGTGGTTAGCCTGAAAAGTTGAAGTTAAAGCGCAGCCAACCATTGTAAGGAAAACGATAGACGCATGCTCGAAGGCAAGTGTCAAACCAGTGCTGCCAAATAAATAGTCCGAAAATTCCCACTTTGCACCAGTGTCGATAGGGTTGCCAACCGTAGCCTTTGAACAAGACCACATCTTGATACAGTAGCGAAACCAAGATATTGTACAGTAGGCAACCCTTTGGACACTGGTGCAAAGTGGGAATGTTTGCCTTTGGCAGCACTGGGTCAAACGGTCGGTGGCTGACCTTCGCAGACGCCGGTGGCGGCGTTGAGCGTGTATCCGGTGCCGCAGCCCGAGTGGCGGATGCACTGGTAGGAGCCGATGGTGTTGTCGCAGCGCTGGGTGGCCGCGCAGGCGTCTGTCTTCAGCTGGCACTCGTTGATGTCTGAGGGGCAGAGACACACCCTGCAATGCAAGTCGACGCACAGTGGGCCAGAAGACCAGTGCGGTCAAAATCCCGGACGCGTTTTGAGCTCCTGAGTCGGTAGGCTAAATAGGACTCAATCCGAACGTGTGACCCCACCAATAGATTGCTCTACGAAAGAGGAATCCATTGGTGGGGTCACACGTTCGGTTCGAGTCCTGTTTAGTGACTCTGGAGCTCAAAACGCGTCTAGAATTTAGTCCACCTCCACCGGTCTTCTGGCCCACTGTGCGACACAGTCCCTGAGAGTTTGGCGCCGTGACACTAAGGGACACCCACCGACGCACGCCTGCGTGACAGGGTCCCTCCTGTAGCCCTCCCGGCACTCGCATCGGTAGCTGCCCACAGTGTTCTGGCAGCGCTGGTTCGAGTCGCAAGGGTTCCTCACGCACTCGTCGTCGTCTGCAAAAACAAAACGCAATTCAAATTAAAATTTAAGAGACAAACTACCGGACTGCAGGAGCCTTCCACGACGGGTTGGCTACTTGAGGGGTGGTTTGAGCTCCAGAGTCGCTAACTGTGACTTGAACGGAGCGTGGATTCCTCGTTTGGAGAGCAATCCATTGGTGGGGTCACACGTTCGGTTCAAGTCCTATTCAGCGACTCTGGATTTCAAAACGCGTCGGGGAATTTGACCGCCCCCACCGGTCTTCTGGCCCACTGTGCGACCTACCGACACACTTCCTGTTGTGGAAGGAATAGGTGTAGCCCGGCTGGCACCGCGTGGTCGCGGGGGCGGTGGGGGCGGTGGGGCGGCGAGGGGGGCGGCGGGGGGCGAGGCGGTGTCCTTCTTGAGACAGCGGTAGCCGCCGGGTTCGTTGATGCACATTTCCGTCACGTTGTTGCAAATGTGCAGCTTGGTGTCGGTGCACTCATCCACGTCTACAAAAACACACAAGAAAGGCTAAAATCAAAATTTGTTCAAACAAGTAGGTTAACATTAGCTTAGGCAGGAAAGCAAAATGCCAAAACGACTGTAAACGAAGAATTACTGAGAGAGAGAGAGAGAGAGAGAGAGAGAGAGAGAGAGAGAGAGAGAGAGAGAGAGAGAGAGAGAGAGAGAGAGAGAGACAGAGAGAGAGACAGAGAGAGAGAGGAGGGGGAGCGCAGGACACTCATGCAATGCAAAGCGTGTTCCCAGCAGTAGCTGTGGCGGAAAGCCCTAACCATGGCAAAGGCAAATCGCATGCACTCAGATCGAAATCGTGCGCATCACCCTTCCCCCCCTAGCGAACCCCACTCCGCCTTGCCACACAGAAAAGGCGAGACCATTTTGGACGTCATGCCATGCATACACACGACTGCACTAGCAACAGGAGCGCGCGCTTCGATTCAAGGCGTCAAAACAGACACAGAGACACGCGCATGTGGACACACACACACACACACACGAAATCATAGAGCCTTCTACACTCCTTTCCTCCTTCCCTCCCCTCTCCTAACCCTTCCCCTTACCCTTCTCCTCCCCTCCCCAAACACACACACACACACACACACACACACACACACACACACACACACGCACACACACACGCACAAAACCATAGAGCCTTCCACACTCCTTTCCCCCTTCCAGCCCTTCCCCTCCCCCTCCCCTCCCCCTCCCCTCCCCTCCCCCTCCCCCGCCCCGCTCATGCCCGAGTACCCAGACATCGTCGCGCCGTCTCGCTGAAGCGGAATCCCGCCGGACATGTGACGGGCGGCGCCGCCAAAGGCCTGTTTGCTCTCGCTGCTGTCGACGTTGTTGTTGCTGCTGGCGGTGGCGGCCGCCGCGTCGTCGTCGTCGTCGTGGTGGTGGACGTGGTGCTGGGCCTGCTCGGCGCGACGCAGCGGAAAGTGCCCGGGGCGTTGACGCAGACGTCCGCGCCGGGGCAGGGCGGCGGCACCCGCAGGCACTCGTCCACGTCTGCCAAGCGAGCAGCGGTCAGCCGCGGTGCCGCACAGTGTGCCAGAAGACCGGCGCAGGCGGTCGAAATCCCGGACGCGTTTTGAGCTCCAGAGTCGCTGAATGGGACTCGAACCGAGCGTGTGACCCCACCAATGGATTGCTCTCCGAACGAGGAATCCATTGGTGGGGTCACACGCTCGGTTCGAGCCCTGCTTAGCGACTCTGGAGCTCAAAACGTCTGGGATTTCGGCCGCCTCCATGAGTGCGAGAGAGCGCTTACCCTCGCAGCCGCCCAGCGGCCGGCGGACGTAGCCGCTGGGGCAGGGCGGCGCGTCCTCGCACAGGAAGGCGCCGTCCGTGTTGTGGCAGCGCTGCGTGGCCAGCAGGCACGAGTGCAGGCCCTCGGCACACTCGTCGATGTCCTCGCAGGCCGGGCCCTGCCGGCCGTCCTGCTTGCTGTCCTGCTTGCTGCCCTGCCGCGCCACCACGCGGAAGCCCGGCCGGCACGCCGGCGAGCACTGGAAGGCGCCCTCCTCGTTGACGCACTGCTCGCTGGGGCTGCACGTGTGCGTGCCGGCGGCGCACTCGTCCACGTCTGGGAGCAGGCCGGCCAGGTTAGAGTCACCGGGGTCGTTAGAGAGTTCGGGGTAGTTAGAGAGTTAGAGAGTCACCGAGGTAGCACACAAAACCCAAGGATGGTAAAATTTCCACAATCGAGGGCGGTATTCGTTTTACCGCCTTTGAAAGTGAGGTATTCATTTTACCGCCCATTGAAGGCGGTAAATTACCGCCTTCCACAGTTTTATCGCCTTGAATGTTCCGTTTGGAGGGAAATTTAAGGCGGTACAGCGGTGAAAGGTGGTAATTTTACCGCCTTCAATGAGCGGTAATTTTTGTACCACACTTGCAAGGCGGTAAAACGAATACCGCCTTCGTAAGACCATGTGTACCACCTTTCGATTTTGGGTGAGTTAGAGAGTCATGGAAAGCAGTTAGAGAGTAAGAGAGTCACAGAGTCAGTTTAGAGAGTTCGAGGGTGTAGAGTTGTGAGTAAGCAAGTTGTAGTGAAAGGGTTAGAGAGTGGTAGGATAGTGTGTTAGAGAGGAGTGGGGTGATTAGCTTGGGGGCTTGTGAATGGGCGGTATGTTAGGGTGGCGACTTGAGTGGTATGCAAGACTTGTTGCGTTCACTAACTTAAACTAGGGAGGGCGAGAGCAAGAGAGTAGTATAGTAAGTTAGCGAAGGCGAGGGTGAGTTTCAGAGTGGTCTACACTTCAGAGTTAGAAAGGTTGTGGGTTAGTTACAGAGTGGGTATAGGGATGTAGAGGGTGTGGGTGTATTAGAACGCGTGGTAAAGGGGTTTAGGGGGGCGAGGAAAAGTTGCTACACGGAGTTAGAGGGGTCGAGGGCATTGTAGGGCAGGAGAGCCCCAGACGAAGTACTCACCGACACACATGCGGTGCTGCCTGCTGAACTGGTACCCCTGCGCGCAGCCTGTCGCAGGCGGCCGGGTCGCAGCCACTTCCGGTGCTTCCGGTGCGGCCGGTGCGGCCGTGGAGACCGCGAACCGGGGCTGGCACCGGTACCGGCCCACCTCGTTGACGCAGTCCTCGCCTCGCTGGCAGCGGTGCGTCCCCTCCAGGCACTCGTTCACGTCTGGAGAGGAAGCAGTGGAGGCGGTCGAAAATCCCGCAGGCGTTTTGAGCTCCAGAGTCGCTAAACAGAACTTGAACCGAACGTGTGACCCCACCAATGGATTGCTCTCCGAACGAGGAATCCATTGGTGGGGTCACACTGTAAAAAATTCCGTACTTTTGTACGGAAATGGTACAGAAAAATATAGTACGGAGGTACGGAGAAAAGTACGGAACGTTCCGTACTTGCTCCATATGAACCCATGTAAATGGGTACGGAAAAAAGGTACGGAACGTTCCGTAGTTGGCAAGTACGGACGGTCCAGGCAAATTATTGACCTGACATGTTCCGTACTTTTTCCGTACTTTTTTCTGACAGTGCACACGATCGGTTCGAGTCCCATGGAACCCGTGGAATGAGACCGAAAATTCCTACGATGCACGAGTGTCGAAAAGGGTTGCCGATCTCAGCCTGCTTCCAAGGCAAGCAAGGATGGCAACTTAGACTCTGGTGCATCGTGGGAATTTTCAGCGACTCGTGTGGCAGCACTGGAAAGCAGCGTGGTGAACTCAGCTCACCGTCGCAGAGTCCAGCACTGGCTCCGACCCTGAATCCGCTGGGGCAGACCCCGGGGGGCTTCTTTGGCGAGGTGCTGGAGGTCGCTGGTTCGCGTCCCGGTGACGGCGCCCTCTGGCCGTCCGTCAGCGGGCTGCCCGGCGCGCACAGGTAGCCGCCCAGGGTGTTCAAGCAGCGCTGCTGGCCGGGGCACAGCACCGCGCCGCGCTCCTCGCACTCGTCGACGTCTGCGGCTCGACAAGCACACCGTCAGGGCGGACGCCGTGCACACCGTCACACAGTGCGCCAGAAGACCGGTGGAGGCGGCCAAAACTCTAGACGCGTTTTGAGCTCCAGAGTCGCTAAGCAGGACTCGAACCGAACGTCTGACCCCACCAATGGATTCCTCGTGCGGAGAGCAATCCATTGGTGGGGTCACACGTTCGGTTCGAGTCCCATTTAGCGACTCTGGAGCTCAAAACGCGCGTCCGGGATTTTGACCGCCTCCGTGAAGGCTGAGGGAGACTCACCTTGGCACGTCCGGGACTCCGGCTCCAGGCGGTAGCCCTGCTCGCAGCGAGGGTCGCAGTCGTACGCGCCCTGGATGTTGCGGCACACCTCCCTGTCCGGCTCGCAGTTGTGGATGTCCTCCAGGCACTCGTCCACGTCTGTACCAACCGCCACCAAGACCATCACCGCCACCACGACAACACTTTACCATCACCACCGGAATCACCAAGACACCACAACAGTCACTAATACCAAATCTACCAGTCACCGAAACCAAATCCACCAGCAACCACCAGCAACCTCCACCTCACGGCCGTGGGCCTACTCACCCTTGCAGCCGCTGCGGTGCGTGGGGTCCTTCTTGTAGCCGGCCGGGCAGCTTCCCCTGCCGCGCGTCCGCTCCAGACACGAGTAGCCGCCCTGGGTGTTGACGCAGAAGTGCGAGTCCTCGTCGCAGTCGTTGCCGCCGTCCTCGCACTCGTCCTTGTCTGAGGGAAAAATCACACCCCATGGGGTGAGTTTCGAACCGTCGACCTCGGGCGCCGGCAGCGGCCGCACAGTGGGTCAGAAGACTGGCGCCGGCGGTCGGAACTCTCGACGCGTTTTGAGCTCCAGAGTCGCTAAATGGTTCTCGAACCGAACGTGTGACCCCACCAATGGATTGCTCTCCGAACGAGGAATCCATTGGTGATGTCACACGTTCGGTTCTAGCCCCGTTTAGCGACTGGAGCTCAAAACGCGTCCGGGGTTTTGGCCGCCTCCACCGGCCTTCTGGCCCACTGTGCCGCTCGGCTACCTGCGCATCGGCGCGACACGTCGTCCCAGACGTAGCCCGGCGGGCAGGCGCCCTGGGGGATGCCGTCGCAGAGGTAGGAGCCCACGGTGTTGAAGCAGTCCTCGGGGCGCCGGCACTCCGCCAGCCCCAGCAGGCACTCGTCCACGTCGTCGCACACGCCCGCCTGCGCGTTGTACTCGTAGCCCGTGGGGCAGCTCTTGGAGGCGCCGCTGATCAGCGAGCCCAGCGGCAGCGCGTTGTCCAGCGGGGAGGAGTCTGCAACAAGCGGAGCAGCTCACAGTGGGCTACAAGACCGGAGGAGGCGGCCAAAACTCTAGACGCGTTTTGAGCTCCAGAGTCGCTAAATGGGACTCGAACCGAACGTGTGACCCCACCAACGGATTGCTCTCCGAACGAGGAATCCATTGGTGGTGCCACACGTTCGGTTCGAGTCCTGTTTAGCGACTCTGGAGCTCAAAACGTGTCTAGGATTTTGGCCGCCTCCGCCGGTCTTCTGGCCCACTGTGCAGCTGTGTCGGCTGTCTCTCCCGCCAAACCATGGGATGCTGCGGTCCAGCCTATCAAGTTCAAGTGCTCACCGAACGCGGGCAGGACGACGGCGCCGTCCTTGCCCACACACGTGTAGCCGCCGGGGTCGTTCCTGCAGGTGGAGCGCTGGCACAGGTGGGCGCCCGTCTTGCACTCGTCGATGTCTGCAAACGCAGCCCCGTCAGCTCGCCCACAGTGGGCCAGAAGACCGGTGGAGCCGGCCAAAACTCTAGACGCGTTTTGCGCTTCAGAGTCGCTAAATAGGACTCGAACCGAACGTGCGATCCTAACAATGGACTGCACTCCAAACGAAGAATCCATTGGTGGGGTCACACGTTCGGTTCGAGTCCCATTTAGCGACTCTGGAGCTCAAAACGCGTCCAGAGCTTTGGCCGCCAAACAAGATGCAGACTGTAGGCGGACGTACCTAGGCACGTCTTGTGGTCGGGCTGCAGCTCGTAGCCCGGCCGGCACGAGCACTCCACGGCCAGCCCCGTGTCGCGGCAAATGTGCATGCAGGGGTTGTTGGTGGCGCACCTGCAACACGGCAGTCAGTCCTGCAGGCTGTCGCTGTCGCACTCGCGGGGCAGGGCAGTGGGCCACACGTAGAGATGTGCGAACAGCCGAGTTCGAATTTGAACGAACATGAACACTTCCAACTTCCAAAGCCTTCGAACGATCCGAACTGAACAATTTCAAAATTTTCTCGAACGAACCGAACGAACAAGGTTTTTGTTCAGATTCGATCGAACACAAACATTAAAGAAATACTGAACTAGTTTGACAAGTATTGAGTAGTTATAAAATAGATACAAATCACAACTGAATAAATCAATCATTCAAGAAACCGCAGCAAGCTCAAGTTTAATTCCGATGGGGATGGGGGCACACAATGGTTGGTTGCGTAAACTGTTGCTATTATTATTGACTTTTTAAATCTGAGGGATAAGATACTGCATTCCAGACATGCATTTATAGTAAAGAATGAAATATTTACTCAGCATGACACTTCAGTTCAGGCATATGCTCAGTCCATACCTGCTGGATGGAGAGGTTAACTTTGTTTGACTTAGAGCATTGAAGCTTGTTCACAAAAAGATAAACAAAGTGACGTGAAAGGAAAGGTCAAACTAACCTTCCTCCCAACCGAATTCCATACTCATAAAACATACCAAACCATATACAGTAAAGAAACACGAAAGTTAAACTATTAAAGGATAACCAAGTCAAAACAAGGAGCCATATTGTATTTGTTTTCGAGGTGACCGTTCCAGTTGAGAGACGAGAGCGCACCACCCCTACCCCTCCGCCTTCTATTCGTTCCGCTACCATCATGTGATGTGAAGCACCCACTACCCACCTAGTGTAAACAACCCCAAAGCAGACATCAAAAAGACCAGTGGAGAGGACCAATCATGTTTAAAAACAAAGTTATTGTTTGGTGTAGTTGGGTTACCTGTTGTCTTTTATTTACTGAGTTAAATGCAAAGAATCCAAAAACGACACCTGTCGCGTGTTCAGGCATGAACATAATCTGTTCATTTTTTCGAACAGTTCGGGGTCGAACACCGCGAGTTCGGGTTCGAGCGAACCGAACAGTCCCGCTGTTCGTTCGAGTTCGCTCGAATGCGAACATGATCGCACATCTCTAGCCACACGGCTGGTGGAGGCGGTCAAAACGCCAGGCGTTTTGAGCTCCAGAGTCGCTGAACAGGCCTCGAACCGGGCGTGTGACCCCACCAATGGATTGCTCTCCGAACGAGGAATTCATTGGCTGGGTCACACGTTCGGTTCGAGTCCCATTCAGCGACTCTGGAGCTCAAAACGCGTCTGGAGTTTCGGCCGCCTCCACCGGTCTTCTGGCCCACTGTGCGGCACATGCATCGTTTCCTCACCCGTCCGACTCTCCCTTGAGGACGCAGGACTTGCCGTCGTGCATGAGCGCGAATCCTGGATGGCACTCGCAGCGGAAGGACCCCGGCGTGGGCACGCAGACGTGCGCGCACAGCTCCCTGCTCAGCACGTCGCACAGGGTCTGGTTGAGGGCGCCGGCGGCTGCGGACGCTGCGGACAGATAATCAAAGAACCGTGGGCAGTGTTGCCACGTAAGATGGGGAAAAATTCCCAGGGTGTACCAGTCTCGAAAGGGTTGGGGTTGGACAACATCTTGGCTTCGCTGTCGAGAAGTTACCAGCAACATGTTGACATTGGCAACCCTTTCGACATTCACTGGTAAAACTAAGGCGTACTATTACGCCCTTCTTCAAGCGTACAAGAGTCCATGCGCTCCTTTCTTCCTATCTAAATGCATGGGGGAATTGCCTTGAAGCGTAGTTTTACCAGTGTCGACTTGTCGTCGTTTTGTCCCAGTCATGTGGCAGCACTGACCCTGAGGCCTGCTGGCCGGTGACGGACCCACCAACTCGAGGAATCGCCGCTGGTGTGTATACGTTCCCTTAGGGAGTTGCTACAGCCGGGTAAAAATAGGCCGTTCTTGACCAGGGCAACACCCGCGGCACGGTGCAACATCTGTCCGTTTAGTCTGGACCGGCTGCCCAGTTACCAAGTTGGGTTCAAGTCGAGAATGCACGGCAAAAACGGTTCCTGGTTTTCCCAGGTAGCCCATGGTAAAGATACAGGTGATTTCTAGTGAGTTCCAGGAAAAGCCGCAGGAAGCGTTTTTGCCCTGTGCACACTTAAAACATTACGAAGTATTTTGAGCACACATAATATAAACTAATTCACTTCGTTTTACGAAGAAATAGTTCGGTTATTACTATTTTCTTTGTACGCTTATGTATTTTCAACATACTTTGTTATAACAAGCTGCTTTTCTTAGTGAGGCCCAAAATAGTTTGTAAAAACTAAAGCGTAGTTGTACGCTTCATTCAAGCGTACAACTAAGCTTCAAGGCAATTCCCCCATGCATTTAGATAGGAAGAAAGGCGAGCGCATGAACTCTTGTACGCTTGAAGAAGGGCGTACTGGTTGTACGCTTCACGAAGGGCGTAATAGTACGCCTTAGTCTTACCAGTGTGTGATTGGTTCTAAATCGGGGCACTTACGGACGAGTTCGTTGGGTTGGCTGGTGGGGCTGGGCCGGGCCGGCCCCGCAGACTCCGAACAGCACTCGTGGTACGCCTCGTCCCAAGGCAGTCCGAAGGAGAACCTCTTCAGCCGGCAGTTTTCGCCCAGAGACCCGGAAATCATGCCCAGTTTGCATGCCTCGCAGCAGTCCTGGGCCAAAAAAAAACGCCGGTTCAATCTTTCAAGTGGCTGGCACTTGCATTTCACTGGTGTCCCTCGGTGTCTGGGAGTGAGGAGGCAACTAGGTATGTTCAAATGAAGGTGCAAGGGTACCATCTGCTTAAAACTCCCACGATACACTATTGTTGAAAGGGTTGCCAACCTCTTTCTTCCCCTTACACAATATCTGGTCTTTGCCTTGTAGGCGGGCTGAGGCTGGCAACCCTTTCGACAGTGGTGCATCGTGGGTCGGCAAGGTGGACTCCTACCTTGTACGCCTCCCCGAACTCGGTGGTGTTGACGGTGCAGCGCTTGTCCTCCAGGGCCGCGTTGGTACCCCTGCGACACTGGGTGTTGCTGCGAGCAGAGCGGAGGAGAGTGACCGTTCGTATTTTTGAGACAAAACTCACCCCTATTCTCAGGCCTTTATTGTACACCCCCCAACAATTAATTTATTTTCAAAACTAAAACTCTGTCTGTCGCCTCTCTGTCTATCTGCCTGTCTCTCTGTCTATCCCGAGGGGGTAACAGCTTCCCACATTCATTGTACAAAATTTGACCATATTCCACATTCAGGTGGCAAAAACGCCTGTAAGTAGGAAACGCCAGAAATCTTGCACATTCTTACACAATCACACAATCATTGTACACAAAATTTTTCAATGGGTCACCCCTTGGTCTATCCGTTCTTTCGTCTGTCTCTCTGTCTGCATGTCTGTCTGTCTATCTATCTCTCAACCCCTTTCAAACACTCTAAATGTTCTACAGTGAAGAGTCTCCATATTATGGTGAAAATGTTCCATATTATGGTGGTGCAGCTGACCTCGTAACATACCATTGAGAATTCACTGTACCTTATAGATATTTTGACGAATTTTGTTGGTGTTATGGAGAAAATCCCCACCATAATATGTTGGTGTAGCCTTTCACCGTAAGACATATTTTACAGTGAACTCACCGGTTGTCCCTTCGGCAGCAGATGTCCGCCGAGGCGATGCAGACGGCCAGGTTCTCGCCGGACACACTGGCCACAGGTGCGGGGAAGTCGGAGCAGGACGTGTAGGACCTCTGCCTGGCCCAGTCGCTGCCGAGCGAGCAGCACCGCGACAACACGGCCTCCAGGTCGCCGCCGTGCCCATCGGCCAGCACGAGGTCTGCCAAGTTCCACGGTCAAGGCCCGCGTCGTACAGTGGGCCAGAAGCCCGGCGCCGGCGGCCAAAACTCAAGACGCGTTTTGAGCTCCAGAGTCGCTAAACAGTACTCGAACCGAACGTGTGACCCCCCAATGGATTGCTCTCCGAACGAGGAATCCATCGGTGGGGTCACACATTCGGTTCGAGTCCCATTTAGCGACTCTGGAGCTCAAAACGCGTCCGGGGTTTTGACCGCCTCCACCGGTCTTCTTGGCCCACTGTGCGTCGTGAGTGGCGCACTCACCGCGGGACACGGCACAGAGCAGCAGCAAGACGCCGAGAGCGTACATCTCCAGCGCTCGGACGAGCACACACACTTCCGCGGGGGCTCGACGGCGTCCACTGACTGATCCGAGAGATTTCCGAACGCGCAACGCGCGGGGATGGTGCTCCCTGCTCCCCCCTCCGCCGGCCGGGGCGGCGTCCCAAGTTGAGCCCGCCGCCGACGCATTCGGCCAGTGTGTTGGAGCGAGGCGGCGCGGCGCGGTCCGGGACGCAGCCCGCGTGGGGTTTGTTTACAAGACGGCAGCCGGACTGCCCCAGCCAGCCCCAGCCAGCCGCCGGCCGGCGGGGCGTTGCACAGTGGGCCAGGCGGACAAATTTCTAGACGCGTTTCGAGCTCCAGAGTCGCTAAACAGGACTCGAACCGAACGTGTGACCCCACCAATGGATTGCTCTCCGAACGAGGAATCCATTGGTGGGGTCACACGTTTGGTTCGAGTCCTGCTTAGCGACTCTGGAGCTCAAAACGCGTCCAGAGTTTGGGCCGCCTGCACCGGTCTTCTGGCCCACTGTGCGTCGGTGTGAGTCTGCGTGCGTGGCGTGCCTCGGCACAGTCGGCCCTCTGTCCGCCACCCCAACAGCGCCACGTGCGACGGCTGCCCTTGACCAGTTGCTAATCGCAAACCGCCGAAGGGCACCCCGAAATTTCGTCACCGAAAACGGTGTGCCAGGACACGGTTCTTCTTATCTCCCCCATCGGGACCTTGACCACGTGTGCGGTGGAGCAGCGGGCATAATGCGGCATTCAAACAGGGACCGCGTTCGAACCGGCTGTCTGTCCGCCTCGCTCGCCAGCAGACTGATTTCGAGAGTCGTCTTCGTCGCTCGGCCTCTCTCGCACGCATGGAGCGTCCCGTGTGGGTGCGAGGGAGACAGAGCGACGGAAACGACTCTCGGAATCAGTCTGCTGGGGAGCAGAGACAGACACGTGCCCCGCGACTGCAACGCAGGGCGACCAACCTCAACGCCGCAGCACGTGGCGCGCCATGGCGGTCCTGTCATGGTCCTGCCTGGCTCACAGACGCGACAAGTGTGGCAGACCGTCCTAGGCAATGCAAATATGGACTGTCAGTGGCGCGGCCCAGAATGCGTCGCAGGCGGCTCGCTGCAGTGAGGATGGAAATGGCGATGGAAATCCATTTTCGAGTGTGCGTCATGGGTGACCTTCCCTTTAACTTTCTGGCAAGGGGAAATCACTATAAATTTCAGTGGACAGATCGAATGAACTTCAGTTGAATTTTGATGAATTTCAGGCACACAATACTGAATTTTGAGAAGAATTTCAATGAATTTCAATAAATTTTGATGACTTTCAATGAATTTTAGTAAATTTCACATGTTTTATTAATTTTGGTGTACAAATTTGGCCTGAGTTATATCCCCTTGCTTTCTGGTGTCCATCGGAAGTCTGCTGGGATCTGGATGAAATGACTGGGAGGCTCGTTTGGTAAAAACAGTTTAATTAATAAAACACTTGTCAATCAACCAATGTCAATCATCAACGGAACAAATTCCGACATCGATGAGTGAGGCCACCGATGCTAGGACCTTTGCTGGGCGCACGCAGGACGCCGGCAGCAAGGAGAAAGAAGATGAAGAAATGTAAGGGAACCATTTACGCTCTCTCCCACTCTCTCTCACGCACACAAACAACAGACTCACACACACAGACGCCCGTCCACATTTTCACGTTTACAAAGACAGTCACTCGCCACACTCTCTCAAGGGCAGGAAAGAAAATTCCACGGCGCTACTGACTAGACAATCATTAGTCGTAAAAATACTAGGGCCGCCAAGTCAGTTGCAGCCCGACATTGCAACAATGCATCTCCCAGAAGCATCGACGTGATAGTGAGGCGCTCCAAGCGCCATCTACCGGCCAGGAGGTGGAAAAGCCCCCACGCCGCCACGACGTGCTTGTTTTAAAAAACAACTTTATTTAGACTACGTACGACACAAATAGTATTCATTATTTACACAGTAAAAACACATTTCCATATTAATTAGCGTACTTTATACAATATATATCACTGCAAAAAGATTTTTGCTTATATTTACACACATTTTTTTACACATTTACAAATATTGCAAATTTAATCACTTTTGTTCGTTTAGTTGGCACAATAATTAAATAGGGACACAGTTGTCCCCTTGTTTAGTCGAAAGGGGTTTTTTCCCATGCAGTTTAAGCGGTTCGGAGCTCAGTTTATTTAATTATTGGTGCAAAGTCGCTGCATGGGAACGAGTACCCGTTTCTTATTTTAGCGTTTAGTTTGAGCGAGGCAGCGGCGGGGTTGGGGCAAGGGCCGGGGGAGGGGTGTCAACCCAAATCATTTCCTTTAAATAAACAATCCGTTAAACGCTGATAGGGATTTTTTTGCAAATCATTCTAACACCGCAGCAAAACTGCTAGACGTAAAAAAATTTCTACCTTACTCTAAAAGCATTTAATTTGATGTTTACCCAAAAGAAAATTAGGCGAGGCCTATCACGAACTACGCCCACGCAGTTACATCTAGACATAGAGTTAAGAATAAGAGTCTAACTAAGGGCCTGTTTGAATGAGATAGAATGCTCTTAAGTAGAAGATGCATACAGATTACAAGCTGTAAACTGGGCTTCTTATTTACATTGCAATGTAAAGACAAGGAACACTCCAAGCGAACATCTAATATGTATGCGATAAAGGGATGGGCTCTGAGCTCAATTATCATGAGTATGTAAAAAAACATAAAAAAACATGAGGTTGAGACGTGTCACGAACTGAATGGAAAATAAACATTGAAAAGGCTGACTTTGGGTAAATAAATGAGTAAGGAAATAGACCCAACAGTTGTTGCCCGGCCCATGACAGGCGCGCACCATCAAAGTCAAAAGAATGCCGTCGGTGGGCAGTGAAATTTTACAAGTCATCGTACGCTTACAGTTTTGTAGCCAAGAAAGTTGAATGCAACCATGACAGAATCACCGAAGCCAATATTTGTTCCAGGTTATCACAAAATGAGCTTAAGGACTTGGACTCTCCTGGAGCAAATCGATGATAATGATGGTGGTTTTCATATGGGTGCTTCCAAACGGCCCGAGTTGGACACCACCGCTCACTGCCTCTGGCCAATAACTAGTCTAGCTAACACACATATCAAAAGACGATTACCCTGGCCTATATTTTAGTTACAATTTACTTTTAGAATTTCATAAACATAACGATGGGGCCGTGGCGCAACACGAGCTAGCGCACTGTTCAATTCGAGGGTGCTAACAATTGAACGACTTGAAACATGGCCTTGATAAGCAGGGTAACCGCCCGAGGCTAACAGTGGTGCTGGGACGTCACACTTAGCAGCCAGACATGAAGATTTCTCGGCCTCACGGCATGGACTTCACCGAGTTTCAACTAGTAGTCACAGGCCAGCTTTCAATAGTAGGAATGGACCGAAGACAGCAGTTGTCTGCTGACCGGTCGAGGCAGTGTTAACTATTAACGGCAAAACACTCAGTTGCCTCGTGCGCTAATACTCCTTGGCAGAGTGTACAAAGGACTGGCGGTCCCAGGAGACTGATACGTTCGAGACAGCTTTTGAATGGTTGATAAGAATACAGCGTCTACACCAAAAATGTTCATTGTTACGCACAAGGAGTATCAGGTAGGAGGCAACTAGGACTGCTAAGCGTGACTTTCGCCTTACATTCGTCCTGTGGGTAGACCTTCAATGCCGTTCAGGATACAAATATTGAACGGCCAAAGCGTAACAATACGGCGTAAGAATTATTTTGGTCAACGCCGCTGTGTTGGAACAAGCAAGGGCTACCCTCAGAAGAGCACCTGAGCCTAGTACAGACAACAAAAATAGCGCAGAAAGATACACACAAGAATACATCTGTTGATCAATGAATATGAAAAAATTATACAATCATTTATAATAATAATAATTGAGCTTTTTCCCGTTTACTTAATGGAAGCAACTGGAAACACCAGTTCATATAAAACATGTTTTCGTATTTTGAACTAGAATTCAAGTATTCAACATACAAATAATAATAGTAATTACAGTAATAATGGTAGTTATACTCATAATAATGGAATGTGAGTTGCACCGACATTGCAGACGTCAATTCAGGGCCCGCCCTGACCATTCATACCGACGCCGCAAAGTCGGTTTCCATCCAAAATCACAGAGTGCATAGCGAATTGGTGTAAGATGACTGCAGATGGGTTCCCGCTGAGAGGAGATTATGATAAACTGACGACCCATCGGCCCAAACACAGGGCTTGGAGCCGCAAATATGTGCAAATGAAACAATTGGATCAGACAGAAACAAAAGTGCAGCATCTTTGGCAATATAGGAGTGATCGGATGAGAAACGAAACCTAAGAAATGTCCAATGGGCGTTTTCGAGAAAACAGGTGCGTTGGATGCCTTGATCAGAATAACAATTTACCTATGCTGAAACTTGTTTGAATTTGGTTGCCAATTTGATTTGACAACCATGGGCAGACTGGAACATAAATTCGAAACTACGCCCGCACTCAGTCAATTTCAGTTACAGAAAACAAATTAACAGCACAACGCCTAAAACGATAGATCATAATTCGGCAAAACCATTACGGGTAGAAGCACTCGAACCGTCACTCTAGCTTGAACACAATATATTAACGCTTACAACGTGAATATTCCACAAAAAAATCTTACAAAAAAGACAAGTTACGCTGGAGAGAAGAGGTGAGCCTAAGGCCACCCCAGTCCGGAGAAATGAGGCGCGGGGGCAGACCAGCTGCACCCTGCCACCCTTCTGGTCCCGGCCCTAGTCACGCCAGCGCGCTGCAGCGATGCAGGCAAGCATGCCGCGTACCGATCGGCTGCCGAACCGAAGACACCAAGTCGGCCTTCCAACCAAAACAAACAATCACCGGATCCCGTCGCATGCATCGCGAACTAATGACAAAACAAGGGGGGAGGGGCTCATTAACGATGCATAAGCACCAGGACAGTGGTGAAATGGCAAATGAGCAAATACAAAAAAACAAAATGGAAGCGAAACTCGCAACCACGAGGATGACCAGTGATGCATACTTGACAGAAACCCGGCAATTTTATTTTCAAATACATAAACAACAAATCTAGTCAAGGAGAGTATGCCCGACACAACAAGTGTGTGGCAGTCAACCTTGACAGAACCGCCACGGTCATGGTGTAGTTCCGGCAGACTCCGCTGCCACCGATTGGCAACCGTTCTTCAACGCCCCTGTCCCGCGGCGCGCCAGAAAGATGATGCAGAGTCCCACACGGCTATGGCGACCCCGAACGTTGGGCAGTGCTCGAATCATTGGACTATGATGTGCGGCGCCGACAGGAGCACAGCTACCGTGGCGATGATGGTGAAGACGGTGAAGATGATGAGGCAGAATCGGTCCACAACCATGGCTGCGAATTTCCAGTCGTTCATGACTTCCATCTCCTCGTCGTTCTTCTTCATGCGATTCGTGATGAACTGCAGCTCTCTCAAAATGGCCTGTGGGGGAAGTCCGAGTGTCAAGCACGAGCCCAGATTTGGCAAGTCCAATTAATATTTCCGATTGTACCTGAAGGTCTCTGGCCGCTACGGGACACGCAGGGCTCGCCGAGCTTGGTCTTCCAGCGTCGACGCCGTCCTCATGAAGCCGGCGCTGTTGGGGGGCACGCCGTGGGATCTCCGGAAGTCGTCGTCGATGTCCAGGACGTTGGCCAGGAGGCTCTTGGAGGAGCGCTCCTTCAGCTCCAGCTCCTTCATCCGCGAAGAGATCATCAACTGCTTTCTGGTGATCTTCCTCCCCGGCCTGCTCATACACAGGACCCAGGGAAGCCACAGCAGGAACACCTTCTTCACCTGCAAGGACAAAAACAGGTTAGAGCAGTCTCAGAGCGCCTGTCAAGCCGCGGGTAGGCAACCATCTCAACAGCGCTGCACTGCATCGAGATGGTTGCCTATGCTGTTGCATAAAATAAACATCGACCAAACCAACGTGAATTTTCGCGAATCTTACGTAAGCCTTGACTTTTTCTATGACCTGCGGACCACAGCCGGGCTCCCGAAAACAGTTTGAACCTGACACTCACCCAGGATGGCATCTCATGTATGTCCGCAGTGCGATGGTGAAAGTTGAGGACGACGACGGTGAGCACCACAGAGGAGGCCACCATGAACATGATGCAGTTGAAGTACGTCTCTGGAAGCAAACATGGCCAGTGGACGTCCTTAGGGAGGGGCCGGACCAAACAAATTGTCTCTACAGCATCTCGTTTGGTGAAATTCGAGACGCGATCTCTCACAAGCACGGCCTGAATCCGGCCAGAAAAAATGCCAGTTCCAAGGCTACACTGGCAAATGGAACATTTATTTAGTTTTTTTTTTTGATGACCAGAAGCGTAATTTTCGGCAAGCATGCACTTACTTTAGGTCTGGATGCTTTGAAGACATTTTCAGCAACACAGACAGGCTTTTATGTTGTCCATTTACATAAAGTTGTTTTATTTAGAACACCCGCACACACATCAGGTAATTAACAGATGAGTTCGTTGCAGTTGCCACATTACGTGCCGGTTTTATTATAAAGTGTACCGAATACAACACATTAGAATGATCACAAAAAGTGCGAATTTGAAATATAAAACACACAAGCGAAGATAACAATTTACATGAAACCAGAAAGCTCCAGTAAAATTACTTGCTGCACACAATATGAGCACACACGAAAGCCAGAATTAAAATTCCAACAGTCTCTTTCAGCAGAAGCAATGTAAATACTTTTGATGAGATTATTGAAAGAAAAAGAACCAATGAGAAACTCACTGCTTACGCAAATTTTAAACGAAAGGAAAAACTGAGGAATTATTGCAAAGCGAAGGAAAATTGAAAACATACACCGGATCTAGGAGCTATGCAGTGTGCATAAACTTTTTTACTCTCCTGCCAGAGACACTGCAATTTGATGGACTTTCTTGTGAGGCACACAAAACTGAGAGGTGGTCTGGCAAACACACTTTAATTTACACTGTTAATCTCTACTACGGAGTAAACTTTTCTAATTTTTGAAAACCGTTTCTGATTCTTCTGCTTTAAATTACAGAAAGAAAAATACGTTTTGATCAGTTACAAGAAAAGTTTCAAACAACGCTGCGTAAAGTAGCTAGGACTGAAGGCAAAATTAAAGAGACTGCAAGATTTAAAGCGCTGTCAAATACTAATGGCTCAGCTTATGCAAACAAGGTGTGCCCACCCTCGTGGCTGAAAAAAATGGCCTTCAAAATAGTCAAAAGACCGACAACAACAAAATTGGTTTGTTATAAAGTTTATTATCTTTCGCATGTGCGATTTATCGGGATTGTCTTGGAAATAGGTGCATGGGGTCTATACGCCACGCACTCATTTACTCGTGCAAGGATGTTTTCTCCTTATTTTGGGTCAAATATACTTTCCTGAGATGTCTTGCTGAACTCTTAACCTTTCTGAGTTCCTAGTACAGACAACTATAAAACAGATCTAGAACATTCTCTGACAAGTCATACTATAAATGAAGCTGGAAGAGCCACAGATGTGAGGAGAGTAAAAGAACCTCTTGTTATATGTACATCTTGAGATATTCTTAAACTAGAAGATATCAATCGGGTTGCACCGCATTATTATCAGATTATTTAGACTCAAATTTTATAGTAATTGCCGTCATGAGAGGAAGAGACATAAGTTGTGCACTTCCTATGATGGCGCATCAAATTAAATTTGAGTTACCGAGGACAACACCACACCTTACCGAAACGAGTTACTCCAGAAACGGTTATAAAATAGCAAAAAGGCATCAAGTGTTACAAAATTACAGTAACGTGATAAAGCTAACTCAAAAATAAAATGGAAATAAAAGACAAGTGGGACGGAGTCAAGTGATACTTGGAGGTGGAGGGATTTCCATAAAACAGTTTAACACCACAGCTTAGAAAATACGTAAATTTAGCACAGCGTTTCAATGTGAATACGTTTAGCAGGTAGATAATAGAAAGAAACAAGAAAATAGCAAAAGGGGAGCCTGGTTGCCCATACGGTGCAAAGATTAAGGGGGCACACCAGTGAAAATGCAGAGGCTTCGTAAAAACGTTATTCTGAGTAAAGTAACGAAGGTAATGGGTTGAAATTTTATTCTGAAGCATAAAATATGTCAATTTAACCAAAAAAGTACACGGCAGCAAGGGGGGGCGACGGGAAGGGGGGGTGGGCGCCATTTTCATTTTTCGGTGACACGGCTCCACTTTGCCCAACTTTGTGAAGCCCTCGATTGAGCCTGAAACATAGGGTTTCAAAATTTCTCATCAGGACACATGTGGCTATCGTGTGAACCACGGACATGTCGGAAAAACAATCCTAAATATGTTTTTTTGAGAAGCAAAAAACGAAACTCATTTTTTGACCATATTTTTCACGTTTCCGTGTTTGTGGCTCAGGCCCTGTACATGCTACGACCATATCCGAGGTTCACACGATAGCGACAAGTTTAAGAAACATTTTGCCGCAAACCACACTCAATTATCTCAATTTTTGCGCCCGCAATCGTGGGCACCAGGTCCAAAAATGGCGTTTCGAGAAAACGACGTTTGAAGTGAAACTACGGTATACTCGCATTATTCCTCATTACGGACGCAATTATTGACATTTTTGAGTTCGGTTTGCGCCAAAATATTCCTTTCTCCAACTGCGTTTCGATGGTTCCAGGGTTTTGGCATTGGACTTCAAGTGAAACACCTGAACGTTGACAATTGAGGTAAAATATGCAAAAAAAGTTACCCTTTTAGGAACTTCAAAAATGTGCCCAAGCCAAAGTAATTGGAATTTTGAGGTTGGGTTTGCGGCGTTCGACTCGGGATAAATAGCAGAAAAATATGATAAAATAAAAAAGGAGGCCAAAATTTGACGATTTTCACTGGTGTGCCCCCTTAAGCCGCTCATATAGCTTGTTCGTCACAGTCTGTCACAAGAAACAAGCCAGCAAGAAGTCTGGAGGGTGAAGAGAGGCATTGAGACAGAATAGACGAATTGAACTTATAGACGGACAGAGGGATAGTTAAAGAGAAAGGCAGGAGGAACACAGAAAGAGCAAAGAAAAATAAGATGAAAAATTAGATACAAAGCAAACACTTTTAGTTAGAACGTTGCGATGACTGCGTTGTATTTATCCCAGATGGATTACTTAAAGAGCAAGAAAAACAGTTTTTGGTTAGCGAAACGTTTAAAAACACAGTTCAGGTAAAAGTGATTTCGTTAGTTAGACGCGGTGGAGCTGCCGGCAGGAAGGCCGTATGAATATAAATATCTTTCATCATTGAATGAGTTTATGGCAACAGATGGTTGCATAAATTTGAAAATAGAGGGGAAATAAAGGGGGACCATGATAACATTACGGGCAAATATAACGACTGTATGTAAGAATAATTTAACAAGGCCGCGAAAAAAGGTGAGACAGGCTGTCTAGGAAACCTGCCACTTCAGTGGGACTTCTTCAAGATGAGCGTACTTTTAGTACGTAAACCGCAACAGACCGAACTCTACGCTGATACTTTCTACTTAGTGCGACCAATGAGGCACTTAATCGAGATTTAAGATAAAAAAAACTTACAAAATGACCTATGCGGAATACGTGTAACAAAGATTTCGATATCAAAAAATTGAAATACTGAATAAAAGAACTATGCTACGAAGGCCTCCCAGTACTTACAGAATTCACGCAAAAAAGGAATAAAAAAGGAAAATTCAATGGACCTGGTCTGGCAACAGCTCCATCGCTAAGATACCGGCTGTCCGGTCTTAGCTGGGCAACCGTCCGCCACGTGTTTGTATGGTAATGATTGGTCTACATGTTTTGAGTAAAACATCGAGATGACAGTACAACAAGTGTAAGTTTTAATCATGAACTGTTCTAAAAGGGACGTGGCAGACGGTAGCGCCAAGTTTAGCGGCAAAATGCCCGCCTTGCTCCGACTGGTCCCCGCTGTAGATGCGCTGATCCTAGTACATCATTTACAGGAAGAGGAAGCATGGACAGGTTCTACCACTAGCCAAAAATCAAAAAAGTGGTCTTTCTAACCAAAATGCTGCCAGATGTAGGAATCTGAAAGGTCGAAATCGAGGATGTCAACCAAAAAATCTCTTTAAAAAACCGATTGGATTGGACTTTACGAAGCACGAGGATTCCAGCCAAAAAACTTCAAAGGGTGCTGATCTATGCTAGTTGGTTTTCTAAAAAAAAGTTTGATAGGGGACGATAAAGACGAGAGGCTTTTCAAAAACCATAAAACCAAAAGTTCCAATTTATTTTTTTTATTTAAAAAATAAAATAATCAGATCAAAGCGCTAAGTCTGATCTTGGACAAAAGCAATCTTATAAGCCATGCTTAAATGCCGAAAAGAGCCTTCGAAAACAAAACAAATGTTATTGAAAAAGTGGTTTTGGGACCAGGGAAAATTCTATTGAAAGAGCACACGCGGCGCTGAGTGGTGAGTTTCCTACCCGCTTGTCGTACAAGCGCTATTCAAAATGCTATGGGTGAGATGAAATTGAAGCAAAACCGTAATGTGACAATGACATGAAAAGTCTTACCGCATGTTACTTTATCATTTCTGTGTGATGGGTTTTCTCTTATTGAAAACAGAAGCGCTTGACGTACCTTTGAATCACGCCGTCTTCAGCGAAGTACGAAGTGAGGACTTGGCCAACTTGATTAAGTCGAGTATCGGGACAGCCCTACCTAACGATTTTTCTTTTTGTTGGGAAATATGGACTGGTATGGCGTTGTTCCAGCAGATAAACCAGCAGAAAATTTAATATCGCGATTTCTGATTTAGGGTGGTTACGAAACTTCATAATTTAGTTTATTTTAGAACTCTTTAGACAAAAAATCAGAAGCTCCACAAGCTTTGAGCAATGTTTTATACTAGACAAGCATAATTGAAAGATTTTCGCTACGCTTCTGAAGTTTCAAGTCTCTTGCAAATGCAATGCAATGTAGCCTATTCATGAACAACTAGGTTGGTGCATTATTTGACCCTTTCTAATACGTTCACGCTGTTCAAAAACATTTTAATCTTCATAACTTATTAGAATGGCATACTTTACAAAACTCTTCAATGAAATTTTTTAATACGAAACGTAATTATTTTTGAATGTTTAAGAATCAATACATTCCTTTTTTCCTAACCGCAAACACAGGCAGCGTGCGTGGTAGTGCGGTAGAGAGTTGAGGGGGATGCAGGTTGTGAATCTCACCAAACAACGCGAAACCAAAGCAACACCAACAAGTCTACATAGATTCGTTGCATTGCTGCACACACGGTTCTAGCCCACCAGTAAGAGCAAAGCCACGAGAGTGAAAACGGACTTCTTGCAGTGGGCTTAAACCGCATGTGTTGAATACAACAAATCAAGTACAAGTAACTACTTTTCCACGATTAAACATGACAACAAAGTATCCAAGCCACAACTAAAACCAAAGAACACACCAAATGCGGTACGGAAGAAATCAAACACGGGGTAGTAGCAACAAATTGGTTATACAGGAGATTTACGTTGTAAGGACAACAAAAGTGGCATGGGATACAAGCAAGGCCCTCCAACTATCCAAGTATCTGTGACCCAAACATTAAAAAATGATGGAGATGCACAGATATATGGTAAAACATCAACAGCAACAACAAATAGGTATAATATTAATAGTGTGAATAGAAAGGAATATATGTAAGACATTGAGAAGCAGGCTGGTACTTTGAACTGGCTCTACCTAACAACGGTATGGCATCGGACACCTGAGGAAGAGTCTCAGCCACCAGGTTCAGAAACACTGTCAGTGAGAGTAGGATGGTCACCCCTGAAACAGACATGCCAGCAGTCACACACTGAACGCCTCAGAAACAAATCGGAAGCAAGGCCACTTCATACTGAATCAAATAATCAGCTTTCCTTGAGACCGGCACATTGACACGTTCGGTGACTTCATCTTCGATTACATTACCTGTTGCTTTGATGTTGGCGCCCGCGCTGCTGCCGTACCTACGTGCTGTGCTAGGGTCGCCCAAAGAGGCATGCTAGTGCAAAATGGAGAAACAAATTACGCAGGGATACACAAATAGAGCAAAGTGCCAAACGTTGGCAGATAATGAAAAAGTTGAGTGCAGCTGTGCGTTGGTAATGGAACCGACTGCATGGTAGTGCCTACACTAAACTAAAATTCTACCGAAGAAGAGAGTGAATCGAGCGGCAGTCGACTCCATCACGGTCCGATACGCCCCACATTTTGCCCGGCGAGTCCCAAGCACAGCACAGATGAGAAGAAAAGTAAACAAAACAATTGCACAGACTCTCTGGGAGCCTACCTATCAAAGGCACTGCGTCCGAAGTGACTGGCATCGATTCGGCAACCAGGTTGAGGAACACAGTCAACGATAGAAGAATTGTCACTCCTGCAAGCAGTTAGGAGTGCCGATACGTGCATCACGGTCCATTTCGAGGTGCATTAGCAAACATTAGAGATTACTCACACCATGTCCCCATTTTTTTACAGTGTCTATCAGACTGTGCTACTAAACATAACAAAAGGAGGGAAAGACACACACCGTTAAAGTACACATCACATGTGGGTAATTTTTTTCCTTTTTTACAGTGTATCTTCAAATTTCCCTAATAGTAGCGCTTCTAATTTTTTTTGTGACAAAATACGAAATTTTTTCTCTTTTTCTTTAAAAATTGCAAACACAACACGCCACAGCGTAAAACCAAATCATTAAGAAAGAAATAAAAAACAGAGCAGAAACCTCGAAATGAACTCATAGCCGGCATGTCAAACTCCCTGCGGATTTACAGTGATTATGGACATGACAGAGGGCGAAGGACGTGCTGAGGAGTGTCCAGTCAAACTAGAAGTCTCAACGTGTCTCACTCCGTGCTGACTCGTCCATCGTAACAGACAGTGCTTTAACAGGACGGGCAGGGGAAGGGTTTCTGTGCACCATTTAAAAACCGACTCCCCTTTCGCTTCCCACGTTCTGCCTCCAAGTATCAGTAACTCCTGTGCCCGACTGCCGGCATACCTATTAAGGGCACTGCGTCAGACGTTGTTGGCATTGATTCCGCCACCATATTGAGGAACACAGTCAATGAAAGAAGAATTGTGACCCCTGCAAGAAACAAGCAATTGATTTTGTGTTTTGATCCTTCGCGCGAGGAGCTCCCCCTTTATGTTGATACTACTTACCATCTAGACCCTCTTTAACCTAATACCTTTCTAGCCCTACCAGGCTGCGTGTATCTTGTCCCAGTGAAACCTTTTCCCGCGGGCCAAACGTCTATGGGTGAAGGTTGCTTGACAGGAAGTAAAAGATATGGAATGGAGAGGAGAGGAAAGGAGACAGGAAGAAGCGGTCTCGAAGAGCGCGCGACATAGATGGAGCAGCCGGGGAGTGAGAGAGAGAGATAGACAGAGCGCGCGCACGCAGGTATCGATTGAGGACAGCGGGAGGGGTGGTGACCCACATCTCGTATCTTACAGGGATGATGCTGGTCCCGCAGAACGAAAGTCGGCAACTTATCCGTGAGGGAAATGGTTTACCCTAATGTGTCATGCGTCACTGCAATCAATTCAAACATTGTCACAACACACTGTTACGGAGTAAAAGGCACTTGTTCGCGCCTCTCTAGTGGCAGCGCAGCAATAATGAATTACTGGAGTGCGAATGTTCCTTTTGATACAACCCAAGGCTAACTAAAGTGAGTTTTGAATAGACTTTGTGCGATGAGTCATGCAGTGAAAGGAGGAGCTCAACAACGAGATACGGTTCAAAATACTCTGGCACCACCGACTTCAGCTGCAAGGAAAAGACATAACATACCAAAAGAAATTTGATTACCTATCACAAGGCAAAAGAAAACCTACTGATGTCGACAGCAAATAGTCATGTCAGGCACAAAATTGGCAAAGGCGCCAACTACAGATATGTCAAAGTTGTACTTGTCAACAAAAAACGACTTAAAATATAACTTAAAAATACGCGAGAGTGACAGTTTGTCACCTCGATATTATTCAGGCGCATGCAAATCAACAAAAGTTTGGGGTTTTGGACGTTTGATTTAGTTAGCTTGGATGCACTTTTATTTATTTAGGGGCCCCCAAGAGACAAGTCAATGATCCGACCGCCCAAGCTCTGGTTAGCTGGCAATCTGGCTCACCAGCTAAAAGCCAATGGCAACCAGAGCGAGACGTTGGACTAATCAGTGCATGGACTTGCCGTAGTGCATAAGTGGCAGCGAGGAAACAACCACATCGGACGCCTGGGAGGCTCATGGGGTTGCTCGACGCAAGGCACTTTGTGCAGCTGGCCGGAGACTTCAGTCAGTGCCCACAGGATGCACGCGTCACTCTGGACGGCGAGGCAGGCGACAGCCCGAGCGGCCCCCACGCCGGGCCTCAAGTCGCAAAGACAAATCCGAGGTAGCTGCGCTAACCTGCGTCTTTAACTTTCATAGCAAACACACTGTACTGCGGACGACTGTCAGAAGGGTCCAGCCGAGTCAGGAAGAGAAGGAACATGGAAGGGGGTTACCTAGGGTGAGCTTCTCCCCGGAGTCAGGTGGCAAGGTGAACCCGAGCAGAGCCATGGAGCTGATGAGCACGCAGGGCACGATGAGGTTGAAGAAATAGTAAAGCGTCCTGCGCCGGATCTGTATGGTGAACGTCACATCCACGTACGGTTCCGGACAGCAGGCGTACATGTTCACGTTCTTCTTGCCGGGCATCCCTGCGCCACATATCACAGTGAGCCGGCATGGATTCCAATCTGACAGCTTGTAGGGGAACCCGTCTCCAAGTGGAGGGGCCGTCAACTTTATTACAAATCTAGGGGTTTATATTTAGATGCAAGCTCGAACATTTTGGGGAGCATTTTTAGCAGTTTTCAATTAACAAATACTGAGGCATTGTCTTAAGTGTATTATGTCGCGTTGTTAACGATAAAATTTGTACCAGCAGAGAAAACAATGAGTAAGGAAACGAAGCTTTACAGTAAATTGATCGGTCTGCAACTTTTAAACAAAAGGGTTGGTTTTGAAAAAAAAAATGTGTTTTGGGGGGTAATCAGTTACAATAAAATACCTTCGCAAAGACATTTTTTAGTACCAAAGTTCGTTCCCATTGGAACACGATTTCTTTCGCTTCAATTAATCGATTTATTGCGAGATATAAAGACTAAACTTTAGAACAACTTGTAGCTTTATTTCTAATAATTAGCGAGATGAATGGCTGAGGAATTATTATTTTATTCTGAATGCACATGTTTTTATGAACTTAAGCCCAACTACTTTAGGACGACCCCCAAGACTTGGGGAGTTTTTTCTCTCAGCGACTGACTCCGCTGCAAGCTATCTCGAACATGAAAAAATTGATGATCGTTACAAGCTCTGACGGAAAGCGAGAGGAGCGTGTCACGTTTTGAAGGGGACATGAAACTGATTGATATGCAAATTGATTACTCAACAAAATACAAATTGCGAAGAAACAAATGGCTTCTCCAACGGCAGTGAACAGAGGGAATAAGAGCCAATCTGGACGTGTCATCGGCTTGAAGCGGTCTTGCAGCATCTACCAGCCTCTTTATCTCCCTTTAACTTTCGCAGAAAATGGCAGGAAGACAGAGAAGCGTCAAGGAGCCGATGCCCAGTCCAATTTGACTCTCACTTGCCCAACCACTCCGCTGAGGACACACCATAAGATCTACTGCGAAAAGAGATCTCAACTTTGGTACTTGTGCAGATCTATATGGTGATAGGACAGTGGAGGTGAGAATCCTCCACTGTGTGCAACAAACCCATCACCCTAGTGTCTACGCGGGCTACCGACGTACAGGCCACGCGCGTTACTGTCTACCTCAAGAAAATACTTCTCAAGATACGATTAGTGCAGGCGCGTATGAGGTATGAGGCTTAAATGCGCAATCATACAGTATCGGTGCTTGACACAGGCTGGCGTATGTCGCAAATCTGTTCAAGAATTATCGACTACCTTGTACTGAGGCACTCTCACGGAGGGCGCCGAAAAAAATGATCAATTTCTTATTTTCGTCTGTGGAAACGATGCGTTGAAACAACGGGGAGAAAGAGAAAGACAGACGGACTTACCCAGTAGATACCATTCGCCGTTCGTGATGAAGTCAGAGAGGTCACCGCCCTCCTCCGAGTTGAGGATGAGGTCAAGCTGGAACAGAAGCACTGGAGGGTGCATGCCTCGCCCTGCAGCGCGACCAACACGGCCACCAAGCGGAACAACCCCCATTTTGCAAAACTTTGCACTTTTCCCCAATTTCACGTGAGCCACGAATCAAAAGTGCACAGTATGAGAATTTTTGTTGACGAATTACTGTATGTATGAGAAGCGACATATTTCACACTATTTTTTTCTGGTTCCGCTTGGGGCGCCCCACTGATACGTCACAAGACTACGTTCACAAAAAGAAATTATTTACCATTATCTTCTACGCCGAACTAATTAACAAGCGAGTAAATGAAAAGTAGAGCAAGGGCTATGGTACACGCTGAATGGCATAAAAATTTCTAAGGTCTGTGCCAAATGAAAACGAAGGCATAGTATGAAACACAAATCAAAAATCTTTAATTTTTGAAAAAATACGAGGGTGCACGTACAATTTTTAACGAACGTGCATTTTAATTCCTCAGACAACATGCAGAGTAAAACCGTTTCTGTTCCAAAAATAGCCTCTTTGATCCGCCGTCTATAGAAACGAGCAATAACAGTCCCCTTACATTTTCTCGACGTCATCCAATTGCGTTTGCTTTGCATTAATCCGTTTGCCTTCAGAGTGTACCACGAACGTCATATTTTGCAACTTTAAAAAATAAAATTATGAAAAGTACGCTGAGAAAAAAAGACATGCATTAATAACTTTTAGGTCCACAATTTGAACGCGTCGACGAAGCCCTTGACTACCGACTTTGATCAAACTTTTTGCAAATACAGTATTTGAAAGGACAGTACTTTGATAATGGGGTGTTGAACCGTCAGTAAATTTCACTCACAAGACACAATTCAGCAAGTATGGTTGTGACTTTGTTTGGTTTTTGTGTTCAATTTGGAGGGGGCAAGTACACATCGTGTTCAAGCACCAGCACTCTCACACAGCACAACATGAAGCGGTTGCAAAGGGGCACACTTTTCCGCAACGTTACGAAAATTAAATGTTTTGGGTAGGACAGGACAAGACGAGGTATTAGAGCGGGAAAGCAGCCATTTTGTTTTCCATTGTATGGTAGTCCTCACTGAAATGGCAAATGCAAGCAAATGCTTACTAGTTTCCGCTATGTTCTATTGAAACACTGTACGAAAGCATGATCACAACAACGGTTCTACATGGATATATCGTCAATATAAGAATACAGGAGGGTCAGTCAGTCAACTGTTGTAGCGCAAGGTGCTGTAGGTCACGGAAGAACACTGGAGTAGCAGGTGATTTGTTAAAATGACGCTGTACTCTCACAAAAATAAACCGGGAACTTTTCTTCGAGTTTCCTGTTGGAAAGGTGCGAACCCCAGTGCTCTTCCCGGGGCTGGGCTGATTAGTCAAGTCATGCGTATTGCTCACACCACTACGAACACGATGCAAGTACAACACCTACATGGTGCAAAAGCTTCCCAGACACACGCTTTCGGGACGCATGCGGGCCAGTCACGCTCGCGCCTTACTGAAGCCACTACACGCACAGCCTCCAAAGGAGGGCTGTCGTGAGTGTAGGCACGCTCAACACGCAGTCAAGCCATTTTTCAGTGACCGGGCTCGATGCTATGACTGGTAGGAGGACAAGACAAAAGAAGGGTCCTTGGATGCTGACGCGAGTGCAGAAGAAGACCAAGAAAAAACAGAGAATTGGGGAAAGAGAAAGTTGAGAGGAATTGGCCTACTAACAGCCAAACACACATGCGACTAACACCAGCACACTTGTCTGCAGCCTGCTGGCCGCTCAACTGACAACTACGCAAGAGGGATGGGGAGTGAGTGGCTAGGAGGGAGGGCCGGGCTTGCTCAGAGTCCTGTCTACACGGTCGCCAAGCGCACACCGCAACGCCAATTCGCACGGCTCGCTAACATGAATGGCATTTGCGTTGCATTCACTCTGCAGCGAGACAGACTGCAAAGTGCACACGAGGAGCACGCGAAGTGCTCACTCCCGCACATTGAAATGCATCCAGCACGCATCGTCACGCAATGGGCCAAGATGGCCCAAAGGACAAACTTTTGACATGAAACTTGAAAACTTTTCTAAATTATCTTTATAAAAAGCTTCAATAGTAAGCGTTTTCAGCATGGTAACTTTGCGAAACACCGAGACGCGATAGAAGGCATGCTTTGTTGCAAGCGGAGATGCAATCGCGCCTCTTGCATCCAGAGTCTCGATTCCAGATAAGACCTGCACGAGACTCTTTGAAGTCGTCCAGACACAGCACGGTAGTCAGTCAGCACACTCAACATGCAGATCTACGCCTCACGGCCTCTCGGTCATGTTACATTTTGCATGCAGTCAAATGTGGCTTGTTGCGCATTGACGCACTTTCAGAAAGGAGTGCATATTCAGTACTCTTAAACAGTAACGCTGGCCACATCAGGCAGTAAAATCCATTGAATACAAAGTACCGAGCTGTGTTTGCACTCCTCATTTAGCGACGAAAAGATAACTTGGCCACAAGTATTCCATGTCTTTAAAAAACTCAGTGGCAACTAAAATAGGTTTCTTTCCGGTAAGAAAGAATGGTTTCATGACACCATTGTGACATGAGCCATGGAGCGACGCGCTAGCGTGCGTGACAGCAGGCGTTGGCCATCTGAGCATGGGCCGGTGGTCTCCGGGAGAAACGGCTGGGAGAAGCGCATCCACTGGGCACGGATTTGTCACACTTTAAACCGTTGTTTCAAAAAAGGCAAACGGAAAGTATGAGAAACCCCTGGAGTGCTCAGCGGATGCGCCAGACACACACCTTGCTGAATGATTAGTCCCGATTAAATAAAATTAAATTTTATTGGTCCAAGTAGGACTTTCAGCTTTTGTTGCTGGCAAAGAAGAAAGAGTGCATCATGCGTGGAATATGAAATTTCGAAATTCAGTGACGCACAAGCACTTTGAGACGTGAAAAGAAAGTAAAAACAGCCGGGTCTGGCAGGGTGAGCGTGAATCGACAGCAATGGCGTGGGTCCAAAGAAAAGACAGGGTAGTGTAGTGTCTTGCATAGTTGACAGAAGAGCTGCCCCCAATTGGTCTGCACCATGCAAAATAGTGTTCCATATAGTCATGGTGTTCCCGAGTGATGGTACAGTGTAACATGAGTGTATGAATGGTACACACGCCAAACACAGCAGTCGACACTTTCACGCGGGCCGTACAAACCCCCTGCCTGGAGCGGCGGAGTCACCATTTCAGGTAAGGGGAAACAAACGAGGCACTCGTGATTTAAGTGTCAACGAGGCGTTTTCAGTCATATGGTGCGGCGGGCAAGCCAGAGCGCGCCCACACGCTACCAAGTACTGTCCGTGGGTCCTATTGGTTGCGTCTTGTCAGCAAAAACCCTAACATTTACGAGGATTAGTCGCCACAGGGCATTATCAAGTGAACGCGAGAGACAGATCTCATGTCGTGTAAATGTGTATGTGAGCTTCGTTCCGTTACAAACATAGATTAAGTCCGCAAAGCGAGTGACAACTATATGCGCACGGATGGCACCACACATAGGTTAGGAATTAGCAAACACACGAACATCATTCAACAGAGAAAGCTTAACACCGCTAAGACCATGACACAAATTTGGACCGTCCTCTTAACCCCATCACCTGACCAGGGAGCGAGCATTGAACCGTGAAATGTGCAAATTTGCATTTGTAACGCGCTTTATAAGGGTCATTCTCGTTATGGTTTTGGCGGGACGTACTTTATTGAAGGAAACTTTGCTTCACTTCGTGTTCAGGTGACTCAGTTTTTTTTCGAAATATTTTACAGCGTGTTTAGATGATTGAGGTTAATCTAGAATCGCTTTCTGGTGAATAGACAAAAAAACACACTGCATATTTATCACGAAAGACTGCAATTGTGCAACAGACTGTCTCACTAATACACACCGAAAGCGATTAAGACATAGGTTAGGGATGGTGAGGTTAATTAAAGGATTGAGAACAGACAGTCCGCTGAACGGGGTGAGAGCGGCCGTAGTTTAGATTTTTAGAAAATTCCAAAACCAGCCATTACAAGTCAGGAACCATGGGCATTTGTTTGACGTTTTTACTGCGGCTTTATTGGAGGACAAAAGATTGGGGTTTCGGTTGTCATTCTAAGGTTTAAAATAAATGCCAAAATTATTTTTAAGGTAGATATTTGAGATACTTTATGGTGCAACAGGCCCATAAGAAAATAATGATTCTAAAAAGGAGCTTGATTGTGATTTTACACGTTTAGTTTTAGACACCCTTGATCGAAGCGTTCTGAAACACCCGTGGTTCTGGCCGGAGATCGTGCAGCCTAGATGGAGTGGCAGCTACCCTCACGCACACACACACGCACACACACCATTTTCATGCTTATGTGGGAGGAGTGTGGCTGATTTATATCTAGTCACTGCCATCCTTACTTTTGGGGCTATTCAGAAGAGTCACGAAACAAGCGCTCTAGTTCCAGCTGCCCTCTAGGGCAGCACGGCACTTCAGGGCGATTGTAACATGGCACTTAATACTCTGTCCGATTTATTTAGAAAATTTTCAACGTAATATGTAGCGTGTTAGTTGTATACCTGGCTTCCGTCATACGTCCAGCTACCAAACTTCATGTCACAGTGTTGGTCATCAAAAGGGAACCATGTAATGTCTATCTTGCATGTGCTCTTGAAGATGCCGGGTGGTACGTAGAGGCACTTGCCTGAGTCCCTGACCACAACATTTGTGTGGTACGTGCCGTCGAAACCCTCATCAGCGCTTAGGGGATGGACAAACACACACACACGTCGGTTACTACCCAATATGACAGATCATGTTTCATTACCTGGAAAAAAGCTTTCAAAATCCTCAGGCAAAGCCATGCCTTCAAGGGATTTGAAAAGCAAGATTCCTGGCGTTGACTTTACAGGCCTCTGGTAAAAAGCAGAAGCCTGGAAAGCAACTCCTTGGCATATCGTCAATGGGAATGTGAGTGCACCACAAGCAGCACAGCAACATTCGGCAAGCTGTGCTCTAGAAAATATCAACGACGAAACTTGGAACAAACGAAGTGTCAAAAAGCAAGAAACGTTAATGAGCACAGCTTAGTAATTGAGCTCAAGGTATTGAAGATATCTCAAGGAGAAGGTTACATTAAAAAGTAATAATTAACAGACAAAAAACGAGACTTGAAAATATTTAGTCTGCTTCCTGATGCGGTACTGCTGGGAGGAGGGCAGGCCAGTGACAGCGTCCCACCGTCCGGTTTCATTTATTTAAGGAGCGGCCGCGATTCGTACCCGACCGCCACTCGGATCCTCTAAAAATTGCATGCAGGCCGGGAACTCTTAACGGAAAAAACAGCTTTGGAGCAAACATTGAAATGCGAAAAAAGAAGTGATAGTTCTGCATTTTGCCAAGAAAAGCGCAGTGTGTTTGACACTTGGATAATAACCCAGGGATCAGTGCTGCAGGGAAGCTGTATCTTAGAGGAAAAAGACACCAGCCACATGACCTTCACCTGAGCTGCTCCACAAAGATGCGGAGGCATTGCTCTACACACATAAAAGTATGAGATAGGCTGCTGGAAAAGTGAAGCAGAACAGAGGTGGTCCGAGTGACCCGTCAAGGTAGAAAAGCAGCCGCGGTTTAGTTTACGCGGGTTTCGTTTAGTTCGGCCCGTGGTGGCACCACGGCCCAGCGCGTCTAGGGCGCCCCAGATCCGTTTAGTTTAGTTCGAGGGTTTAACGTCGGTGACATCCGGTTAGACTTATTATCTACGTCAACAAAAAGGTGACTGCTTATTTAGGTAGGTTGTTTTTATCATGCTTTCGTACAGACTGAATTACTCATGCGTTATTTAAGAAGACGTGTTCGTTTAGAAGGCGAAGCTTTGCTACAGCAGTGTATGAGAGTGAACCCTCTATCACAACTAAGCAGACTACGCACTCGCCCTTCAAGCTGCTAACGTCAACACCGAGTAGTGTGAACGTCGCGCTAACCTCTAAAGAAATACATGCCACTTTTGTGGCAGTACGTTTTGGACTATTTCACATCCATACTTACTTATGGTAAATCATTTAATAAATGAACCAGAGACTATTAAGATATTGTGTCTCTGCTCAGACTTTAGAAGTAGTTTAATTTAAAGTCCAAATCTCTAAGGTAAGCCACAAATTCGGCAGTTCAGTTTAAACGCGGCGAATCCAGCTAATGCTGTCTCAAAAAGCATAATTGCTTGGAACTGCTGCAAACGAGCCAAAAAGGCAACACAGTGGATAGTAGTGTTGTGACGTTGACAATGAACGCAAGTTTAGATGTAGGCCACACGCTTAACAAGATCGGACGCAAAATGAAAAATTACTCCGCCGAAGTTTGAAAGGAAGATAAAGAATGATTTACTTACTGGCCAGGAAACAAGAACTTGTTCCTGACTGTCTCCTAAAGAAATCACCAAATACTTCAAAATGAAGCAGTAGCGGTATTACTTTTTCATTTGCTTTGTTATGCGAGTAGCCTCTACTTGATTTCTTTTTAAGCTCGAGCAAGTGGGGCGCTCGGTAGCGGTTGTTATTTAGGTTAGTGCTTTTAAAAGACGGTCTTAGGGCTGGCCGGACCGGACGCTATCCCCACAGCATACATACTCATAGAAGTTATCCAGGCATCAAGGATTCCAAGTACAGAGAAACCTGTATTTTTGCCCTGATTTCTCCATCCAGTTTAAAACAAATGAGCACAAGATAGCCCATCGAAACAACAAAATTAAAACAATAACTGTTTTAATTTCGACCTTTTTCTTAAAGGGACACAAAAGGTGTTTTAATAAACTATCTTGTGCTTTAAAACACGAAAATTTCTACTAAAATAAAACAAATTAGGTGAAAAATAATGCATTTTCGAAACAATTTCTATACACATTAAGACAGAATAATACACAAAGTGGAAAGGAATGCTAATCAAGACGAACACGTTAGTTTTGAAAGGGGACTAAGACTGAAGTAAAATTATCAAATAATGAATGAAATGTTTGGATTGCGATTCTATTCAAGAATCAAACACTTCCAAAAGTGTTCCAAATATACTAGGTTGGTGACTGTACGTGTACAATACCTCTGCAGTGAAAACAGTGCACCAATCAGAAGTTAAGGAAAGGAAACGGAGAAGTCCGTTGGGGAAACGGTCATTGGCTGAAAAGAGTGGTCAAATAGGGCGGTCGGTGAATTACCTGTTGTACATTAATACATCCGGTCTCCAAATCTTATTAGGTGTGATGCGAAGATCTTTGACGTTGCCGTACTCCGAGTGGTTCCATCTTAGGTTGTAGTCCGTCCATTCCTATGAAAAACAAAGAAGCCGTTAGTAGCTGCAACACAAAATGTGTTCACTTGCTCCAGTCAAACTTTTATTGATTGATCTAAAATTGAATGAAAGGAACTCATGTTAAAACTGAGATAAAGGACACTTTTATACAAGCTGATAACATTGTATGTGAGTGGCCAAAAATGTTGCCCAATAAATTTGTTTCCAATTGGAAGTAATTTGGGAAAGCAATCAGTCCTACCTGGGCTACCCTACTTCAAGGAAACATAATTTATGCTGTCTGAACTAGGCAACACGACGACCGAAAAGAATTCAAAACCAATTAAAACTTATATTAATAAAAAGACTTAAGTGCTCAGAAATAGACGTGGGTAAAATAAGTACTTTAGAAATTAGCTTGAAAGACACTGAATGTCATTCTGAGCACTCTATTTTCATACAGAGAGAAAAAACTGATTCCAAAATACACACAAACTAACATACACACACAAACAGAGCATTTTCAAGCAGACAAAATCACTATAAAAAGCATGATCAGGAGCAAGGAAAAAAATTAAGCCTCTGTTACTAGGATGCAACAAGTAGTTTCTTTTAAATGCAGAAAAAAAACCTTCAACATAGGGACGGAACTACAATGAAATGTATGAAAATCACATTTACAAGTCGATTGGCTTATCGTGCAGTTTATGTTTTGGTGGCTTTTTTTTTCAGACACAGCCTGAAGCGTACTCTAACCGGCCTCATGCACAAATAGAAAGGGAATGAGCGGGGAACAACTCCTTTTAACATGCAAGCAAGTCAACAAGGCGTTTTATTTATTCGGTTGAGTAAGGATTTTTAGTTTGTACTAGAGTTACGGTGAACATAAGTTTAGTTATTTTATCGTGTCAGGTTGTTTAGATATTTCTACGTTAGACTGTGAATTTATGAGCTGCTCATAGCACTGGCTGTAAGCTGCAGTCAGAAATACAGAAATTATTTCGCAATGGCGGTGATGAAAAGGAGACTGTAATCTTCTTATGAACGCAACGTCCCTCTGCTTTATCCAGCAAGGAAAATCAAATTGGATTGTAAACGAGCTAATCAAGAACTTTTCCGTTGAGCTCGTTCAGTGAGCTAGTTATTTCGTGTAAAGGTAAAACGAAACAAACGCTATGGGGGACTTCAAACATTTCAAGAACCAAAATATTGAAAATACTCTGAGGCAGCATGTTACAAACAATTTGGTCTTGCAAAAGAAGATTGAAGCCCAATTATAAAACTTAAAAACATGACCACAAATTTAGAACGAAATACGCAATCCTAGCTCTTTTCTGTACATATAATTGTACAGGAATCAGAAGCAGCTCAACATTCATAAATTTCTTTATTTAATTGTCCGGTGAGGATTTCATTTAATGCACAAGACAATTATTTAGACACACACACACGGCAGTGAAATTGTCTGTACTCCTAGTAGAAAGCACTCGTAGGCGCTATCGATGCCTTCTAAAGATAGAAAAGACATTGTAAACGGAACCGTCAATCGTTTACACAAAGGGAAGAAATACACATAGCTTATTACAGAAGTAGAAGAAAGTTTAAAACAATGATTTTATGTTATTTCATATTTCTGTCCTGTCTTAAAGTCGATATGCTGGTCCAGTGATAAAACACCAAACCATCAAAACGTTCAAGGCCTTTTAAACTGTTTGAAAGAAAAACATAAACCAGACACGATCTTTCATAAAGTTGAACGAATTTGATCCCTCGCCGGTCGGTAGTAAGTTTGCACGGAAGATCTTCCTGTGAGCATGAATTATAAGACGGGAAGATTGCGTTCAAATAAGGGAGGAGTCTCGGCAGGTCCCTGAAATTTTAAGTTCGTCGAAAATTTCAGTCTCTTCACATAGAACTCACCGCTCCGGTTTCCATTGAAATAACCCTGAAACACTGTCGACACGTAACTCGATTAACTAGCTCAATTGAGATGTGGGTTTTGTGGATCATTTCAAGTTTGATAAGTCATGTTTATGCAGGGGCCGGTCTCGTAGTGATAGATATTACATTGACGTACCATTTTTAAACAAATTTAGTGTGTTTTAGAGCCTAACGCGTACTATCAATGATAATATGTCTCATTCATTAATTTTACACAAAGTAAAATGGTACAACAAACTCCCTAATATGTTTGAGGGTTTATTTATGGAACTGTGGAAGTGCTAAAAGGAATTGGTTTATAGGATACCTGGATCACAAACCTATTTCGCCAAGCGGTGTAAATATTGTGATACAGCTGCCAATTATGTTGTACACTGTATAACAGAGTACAGATAAAAAGCATCTATGCGATCGAACACAGTAGGGAGGGGAGGGGAAAATTATGAATCGGTGAGGTCTTCCTCCTTGCTGGGACGTGAAAGATAATACTGCATTGTGTTGTAACATACAGGGAACTTGTGAAACACGCTGATGATGCAAAAATAGCAGCATTACAATTTAGTAGTCGGTAACCACAAATGAAAAAAAAAGACAGTTGGAAAATTAATATTTCTTTACACAGAAACCAAAAAACATGTAAACAGCAACAGCATTTGGCCGTTCCTACAGAAAACTATTTATCATTTGAGAGAGGATCCAAATTACGTGCTTTAATTTCTGCTAAAACAGCAACGACGGCAGAAATTTTAGCATCAACGTGTTTCACGCGGAAAGGGTTCAAAAATACTAACTAGAACTCATGTTTTCTTGTGATAACAAACCTACACTCTAAAAAGCTTCGAGAAGATTGATGAATGAGTGTTGAGCCCGTGCTTTGAGAAAGCGCTTCTCGACGAGAATAGCGCAGATTGTAGCATGTAGTTATGCAACTATATCTAAGGGAATGATTTTGTTACAGTGTCTTTTTGGGAACAAGAACCACTGACACGGGTCTCCAGTGTAAGATGCTTGGGTGGTTTGCAGTTCTTAGTATTTACAATCGGGTATATATGTTGAGAAAGAATAGTGTATAAAGATCTACATACAAGGTTCTACAATTCGCAAAGATACGTTGTACGAGAGTACAAAAGAAACAATAGTATATGCGTCTGCCGTGTGTGCCAACATTTCTCTCTTTATCAGTCCGGTTTACGTTTAGAACAACTTACCAACGAAAGCCAAATATTTGTAATAAGGAGTTGGTTCTTCTCATCCTATTCGTCAGACACAACAAAAAAAGAACGGAAAAACATTGGCCGTTAGTTAAATCGACACAGTGAACAGACAACATGCAGCGAAAGGGGTTAAGGTGACAATCGGCCAGGGCGGCCGCCAGGGCGGCACAGGCAAAGCGAAAATGCCAAAGCCATGCCTTTCCTTCCACTCGCCCCGGCCAAGGAGGAGCGATCACCCGACATTCCCTCGCCTCCACTCAACAACAAAAAAATAAAATAAAAAGACAATTGCGATTTGCTTTCAGAATTTCCGAAACAAACAGTTTTCTGAAAGGCGCTCGAGAATGGCGAGTGTGCTCAGGAAAGCCCCTGAGCGAGAGCCAACACTCGCTGGACAGAGTGAGAGCTCCGCGTTCGTTCGCAAACCGCCTAAGTTTGAATCTCCTTTTTCGAAAAACTCGACTGGCAAAGTGAATGACCCCTTCCGGAGTAGTCGAGTCTCAATGCAAAACTAGGCCTGGTGAGTCTACGCCCAGCCCTGACTGGGTACGAAGCGGCGGCAGCGGTTTGCGAAGAACCAGGGGGAGGACAGACGAAAGAAGCGAAAAGAGAGGAAAGACTGTGGGGGATGCGTGCAACAGTTTCCAGTCATTTCGCTTCTTGCGGTGGGGGTGGTGAGATATGAAACGCAATATGAGCCGACATGACAGTTTGACATGGATACACACACTAGCCACCATTTCCTGGATAACAGACCGCAGACCGGCGACTTACCAAATTCAACCATGCGTTGGTTGTCAGTATTTGATCCTTTTCATTCTAGAGGGTAGGAGTGAAACGCCAAATAAAAGATTAAAGCCCGAATTAGCAATTTAATTTAGTGTCTGACATACTCTTCAAAATAAAAAGACTGAACCCCCGGCAAAACCCTTAAAACGAGCTTTAGAAAAGACCCAAATTAAGGGACGGATTATACTGAGTTACCACCCGGAACGGAAGTTGCAAACAGTTTGACAGCCCTCTGTAAACATTTGCCCTCTCTACGTGAAGACAATGTCGGCAAGGCGGCATGGCGGCGGGGGAGGGGGCAATTCTTTGCTCTCGTGAAGTTGGCGCAAACGTTCGCAGCTGCAGTGCGGGCTCGCCTACCCATCAATTTATAATGGTGGCTCCCCCTGAGGGAGCCAAACGGAGCCCCCCGGACACTTACGGCCGACCAAGACAAAGACAAGAACCACTGAGGAACTGTCTCGTCATCCCCACTCTGCAAACTCCGCATCCACCCCTCCACACATCCCCTTGTTCGGCACGGTGCCCGATTACATAGTACATGATGGATCAGGAAACCACTTAACCCATCAAAAACTGAGCATGCTGTGGGCAAAAACGTTGCGGAATACGGTTCACAGCGTTCCGAATTGAGAACGTGCAAACCTATGAAATCGTCGAAAAAGTTAACAATCACATCACATCCAAACCTTGGGGAAAATAACAAATTCGTTAGGGGCGTACACTTTGAAATGTACGAACGCGGGAAGGGAAGCAGTGTTGCCTCATAAGTGGGCAAAAAATCCCCACCAGGGACCACTGTTGAAAGGGTTGCCCACCTCAGCCTACCTTCTAGGCAACATCTCGACAGCGAAGCCAAGATATTGCCTAGTAGGCACCCAGAGCTAGGTTGCCATCCGGTTCAATACTGGTGCATCGTAGGAATGTTTGCCTACTAATGTGGCCACACTGAAGGAAAGTGAGTGTTGGAGACCAGAGCAGCGCGCAGCCGCTTTACCGCACTGCGACTGACACATACCACATCGATTATCTGCTGCAGCGTGAGGCCGAACTTGATCTCCAGCGGCTCCGACTCGTTGGCCACCGGCCGCTCCAGGACGTTGTAGTCGTCCAGGAGGTCCTCCAGCAGCCGCTTCTCGTGCGGCCCCTGCAGCGTCCCTGCGAAGCAAACAATGCGTCAGACAAGGAAGGACACGCACAATGTATAGTGGTGCATAGTGCACGTTCGGTTCGAGTCCCATTCAGCGACTCTGGAGCTCAAAACGCGTAGTTTTGTCCGCCTCCACCGGTCTTCTGGCCGACTGCACAGGCGCCGTCGATGCCCCGCCCGCTCGGCTCGCCCATCCGGCCAACGTTGGGAGCCTCTCGCGCGCGGGGTAGCGACGCGGCGGCCGACGGCTCCACTCCTCCAGTCCAGACACCGCGGCGTGTGGTCTGGCCCTTAATGGTAGTGGTAATGCGGCGCGCTGTTCAACACACCGCCGTGTGGCGGGTTGGCCTATCTCAGCGTCGGACACTCGAGGTGCGCAGAGAGAGAGAGAGAAAGGGGAGAGAGAGAGAGAGAGAGAGAGAGGGGAGAGGAGAGAGAGAGAGAGAGAGGAGAGAGAGAGGGGAGAGAGAGAGAGAGAGAGAGAGAGAGAGAAGAGAGAGAGAGAGAGAGAGAGAGAGAGGAGAGAGAGAGAGAGAGAGAGGAGAGAGAGAGAGAGAGAGAGAGAGGCAGAAGTGCAGTGCGGGATGCGGGCCTTTCCCCGAACGTTCCAACGAGTCGGATAAGACGCGGAGCGAGAGAGACGGACGGTGGTGGGGCGGCTGGCAGTGCCGGCAGTGCCAGAATAGAGACCTAGAGACTGACGGAGAAGCGCGGGCGCCGATAAGCGCACCCACAGTTTCTCATACTCCCCGCGCGCGGCGGAGAGCTGTCTCTTAATCCAGACAAAATGGCGGCGCACGCACTTAACGGCTGGAGAAGGTTTTTCGGCCACAGCTTCCAAACCGTTGTAGATAGACGGGATAGTAAGCGAGCCGATTGTAGGTCTCTGTACAAGCTACAATCGGCTCGCTTACTGTACCACTCTAACTTGAACGGTTTTCGAGCTGTGGCCGAAAAACTGTTCGGTCTGTCTGCGCGTCCGCCTGGCCCCACCTTACCGCACCGCTCTCCGCTCCGCTCCCTGTCCCTCCCCGCTCCCCTCTGGGCCGGCCCAGACAAAATGGCCGCCAGCGCGCGACGGCGCCCGCGCTTCTCCGTCAGTCTCTAGGTCTCTATGCCAGAAGCCACGCGTCGTGCTCCTCACTCTGCCCGCGGCTCCCCGGCTGGTGACCTTCGGCTGCACGAGAGGCCGGCAGTGGCCGGCAGTAGCTAGCAGTCGCCGGCGAGCCCGTGCCCCGCCCAGTCCGCCTAGAGAGAGCCGTCGTGCCGCCCGGCCGCCACACCAAAAACAAGGTATTCGTTTAACAGTGCGCCGGGTCGGCCAGGCGGGCGACCGCGGGGCTCAGCGCGCTCAGGTGAACTCTGCCGCCGCCCGGCGAACCAAAGGCTCCGTTTCGGACCGACGCGACCTTGGGCGCACCGCCTTGTGCGAATCGGCGCCAAAACGGCCGGCAGAGGCGCGAAACGCGGCGCGCAGTTTCTCATACACCGTAAAGGCGGCCCGCACAGTGGGCCAGAACACCGGCGCAGGCGGCCAAAACTCTAGACGCGTTTTGAGCCCCAGAGTCGCTAAACAGGCCTCGAACCGAGCGTGTGACCCCACCAATAGAATCCTCGTTCAGAGAGCATTCCATTGGTGGGGTCACACGTTCGGTTCGAGTCCCATTGCGCGACTGGAGCTCAAAACGCGTCTAGAGTTTTGACCGCCTCCACCGGGGCCCACATGCTCAGCCAGTTCAGGGCTTTTACTAACGTCTGGCCTGAATCTAAAAATACACCGCGTTTCGAAGGGTCACCTCGCAACTTAAATACTCTCTCTCTTTTTCTGTCTGAAAAATGCGGTGTACACCCGCTACTCATGCTGTGCAATTATCATTCTAAGCTATTTCCCATCATGACACTGATAAATTAGTCCTTAGGAACTGCATGGCAAAACTATCTTCTCCGCGTGGTCGAAGTGACTGCACCCTAAATTCATCACAGTGAATTTGAAAGAAGTGTACGAAGAAATTTTGTGCTAACATAACACGAACTGAATTTATTTCTTTTAAAAGCTTCATGTTACGGCGGAAAATAGCTCCATAATATGTTTGCACAAAATTCTTCGTATTATAAAGAAATGGTGTCCGTTTCTTTCAGAAGACCTTTTTGACAGCAAGAACCGTTTTCACCATTGCTGAGCTGTCACCAAACTAAGTCTCCTGGTCGTAACCACGAAAGAAAAAGCTCAGGAACAACTTTGAGAGTGCACCAGAACAACAAACATTCTTTGAGGAATGCCCGGGGGGTAACGCGCGTTTCGCGGCTTGGTTTATCGGCGTGCGTAGAGAAAGGTCAGTGCTGACCGGCGGCGAACGCCGGGGGCAGGGGTCGCTCAGCAGACTGATTCCGACAGTCGTTTCAGTCGCTCTGTCTCTCTCGCACTCGTGGGGCGTTCCGTATGGGTGCGAGAGAGACAGAGCGGCGAAAACGACTCTCGGCATCAGCCTGCAGGGAACTTCACGACAGTTATTGTTCGCAAGAGATCTGTCATCCGTCGCTTGAGCCCCATAAGAAGTTCAGCTATGCGGTCCCGCAAGTGATATTGAACATTTGACCAGTCGCTCGCTAAACAGGACTTGAACCAAACGTGTGTAACCCCCATCAATGGATCGCTCTTCAAACGAGGAATCCATTGGTGGGGTCACACGTTCGGTACGAGTCCTGTTTAGCGACTCTGGAGGTCAAAACGCGTCAAGAATTTCGGTCGCCGCCGGCGGTCTTTTCACCCACTGTGCTTCCCCTTGTCACGCGGTAAAACCGTCTCCAGGAAATAGACCAATATTCCAGGAGATCTCAGGAAATTGTACGATATTCCTGAAAATTGCAGGAGATGTATTTACAGTGCAGGTTGGCTGACAATTTGCAGTGTAATTACCAGCGCGGCACGGATCATGGATTAAGTCCAGCCGATTAGCCCCATTCCGATCGGGGGAGCACCAAAGCCCAGCCATGCCGCGCCAGGCCGGGCCAGGCCCCAACGCCCACCCATCCAGGAAAAACCCGACCAGCGCCTCAAAAATTAGCCCAAAGGCCACAGCCCAGCGGCCCCGAAGAAGCGTCCCGTCGCTCTGTCTCTCTCGCACGCCCACTGGCCCTACGGGACGTCCCGTGAGCGCGACAGAGACAGAGCGACGGCACTGCGGAGTCCGCCTCCAGCCTAGCACTCTAGCAGTGGCGGTCCACAGTGGGCCAGAAGACCGGTGGAGGCGGACAAAACTCTAAACGCGTTTTGAGCTCCAGAGTCACTAAATGGGACTCGAACCGAACGTGTGACCCCACCAATGGATTCCTCGTTCGAGGAGCATTCCATTGGTGGGGTCACTCGTTCGGTTCGAGTCGCACTTAGCGACTGTGGAGCTCAAAACGCGTCTAGAGTTTTGTCCGCCTCCACCGGTCTTCTGGCCCACTGCGCGGTGCTCCTTCGCGCGTGCACTGCTAACAGGCGACACTTGTTCTCACGAGTAGCGGCCGGGCAAGCTGCAGACCGATTCCGAGAGTAGTATTCATCGCTCTGTCTCTCTCGCACCTTCACGGGACGCCGCACGAGTGCGAGAGAGACAGAGCGACGAAAACGACTCTCGGAATCAGTCGGCTGGGCAAGCCGGTCCCATCCCAGCGCAAGCCTCCTCTCTGCTCTCAGCCTGCTGGTGCATAGTCGGCTCAGCGCAACATTAATCTCGTAATCCCGCCGCTACAAGCGCTCCCGCCCCGCGAAGCGCCGCGAAGCACTAACTCGAACAAAAATACGTGCGGACACTGCCGGAAACAGTGGCGCGGGCGCGACACAAGGAGGCAAACATTCCCACCATGCACCAGTGTCGAAAGGGTTGCCAACCTCAGCCTACAAACATTCCATCCATGCTCCAGTGTCGAAAGGGTTGCCAACCTCAGCCTGCAAGCCTGCAAACATTCCAACCATGCTTCAGTGTCGAAAGGGTTTGCCAACCTCGGCCAGCCCACTGGGCATTATCTTGGCAGCCCTGTCGAGAAGTTGCCCTGTAGGCAGGCTGAGGTTGGCAACCCTTTCGACCGAACGTTGAAATTTTCGCCAATACTGAGCAAAAACAAAAGCAAGGCAAAATGTGGGACTTTTTTTAAAATTTTAATTAATTAAAATTTATTAATTTTTTATTTATTTTTGGCGGCAGGGCGATGGCAGCAGAACAGCTCCTGGCGTGGTCGCGGCCGACCGACGTTCCCTCCCCCGCAGTGTGGGGCCGCCACGAGCACCAGGGCGTGCAGTACCGCGTGCAGGAGGCCACGCCGGACCTGCACGAGAAGATCCTCGACTATTACGTCAAGGAGTACTTCCACGACGAGCCGTGCTCCAAGAACATAAACCTGCCCGACGATGAGGTGAGCAGCGCGCACTTTAAGGGTACTTCAAGGGCACTTCGAGGGTACTTCTCGAGTGCACTTCGAGGGCTCACTTCAGGGGTACTTTGAAGGCACTTCAAAGTGCACTTTAAGGGCTCACTTCAGGGGCACTCCAGCGGCATCTCGAGCGCACTTCAAGGGTACTTCAAAGGTTCTCCCTGGTTACCTCAAAGGTACTTCAAAGGTAGTTCAAGTTCACTTCTAGGACATTTCGAGCGCAATTCAAGGGCTCACTTCCAGGACATTTCTAGAAAACTTCCAAATTATTTCGAAAGCACTTCGAGAGCATTTCGAGAGCACTTCAAAAGCATTTCGAGAGCTTTTCAACACCACTTCGAGAGGTTTTCGGGTGCACTTCGAGAGCTTTTTGAGAGCACTTCGAGAGCACGTCAAGAGCTTTCCGGGAGCATTTCGAAAGCACTTCGAGAGCTTTTCGAGAACACTTCGAGAGCTTTTCAAGAGCTTTTTGAGAGCACTTGGAGAGATGGAACACGCAAAGAAATGGGCACTGGGGCACGCCCTCGGGCACGCCAGAGAGCCGCAGGCGGACAGGTGTACGGCATCACTCCCACACGCCAGTGTAGGGCCCGGCACGGCCAGCACGCCAGTCAGGCCTGAGCATCCCTCAGCCTTGTGTATGGCGTGTCACACCAACGTGTCGCCCTGGGGCGAGGGGTGGGGGAAGCGGGGATAGACAAGGGACGGGCCAAAGACATTTTAGGTAGGAAAAAGTGCGGTGCTGGAGCCCCCCCCCCTCTCCTGGAGCGACCCGAGAGTGCGCTAGGCGGCCCGAACTGCGCCAGATGAATAATGAAGGCTCGCCGAGCCGCGCCAAGCCGCGCCGTGTATGCGCGAAGCAGGCGTCCCACAGTGGGCCGCAGGCGACCGAAACTCCAGACGCGCTTCGAGCTCCAGAGTCGCTAAATGGGACTCGAACCGAACGTGTGACCCCACCAATGGATTCCTCGTTCGAAGAGCAATCCATTGGTGGGGTCACACGTTCGGTTCGAGTCCTGTTTAGCGACTCTGGTGCTCGAAACACGTCTAGCGGAACCCGAAACCCCAAACTGTTTCCTTCTGCCTGCAGGTCTCGATGGCGGAGTTCCGGTTCCTCCTCGCCACCGCCCTGACCCAGGGCTCCAGCCTCGTCGTCCTGGAGGAAGGCGCACCGGAAGGCGAACCGGAAATAGTCGGCGCCATGGTGATTCCGGTGCTGTCGAAGCGAGACCCGGAACTGCCGGAGGTAAGCTCATTTCCGGAACCGCCCGCCGTCAGATAGATTGATGGATTGATGAAGAAATAGGCGGATAGATGGACAGGTAATTCGGAGAGCAATTCACGCCGCACTTCATTAGCAACCTGGCCGATTCAATTAATTTGTTCCTCACGCCGCGCTCTCCCCCGCCCCCGTAACGGCTTCCCGCGCTGCAACGCTATTTTCCGTGTAAACGCGTGTCTCTGCGGGAGAGAGAGAGAGAGAGAGAGAGAGAGAGAGAGAGAGAGAGAGAGAGGGGGGGGGGTGGGGGGAGACAGCTTGTGTGCTGGCGCGGGGCCTAGGTGTGTGTGTGGGGGGGGGGGGGGGGGGAAGCGCTCGAACATGCCCGAGTGCGGGTGTGTGTGTGCGCGTGTAAGCGTGTGTTGTTTTTGGTGTGTGTGTTGCAGCAATATCTCCCGCAGCAAGGATTCCCAGCCTGCCTCTGGCAGCCTAAAGGGAAGAAAATTCAGAATGTATATACAGGGGCGGGGCCGGGGTGGGGCAGGGGGAAGTCCCGTGTAATGTGCTTGTGCTAGTACCACGACTACGACCATGTCGGTGAATGTTTGCAGAGATGGCCACAGTTGCAGCCAGAGGGAGACAACACTCGAGTCGATACCGTGCCGTCGCTATGTGCACTAGCAGACACACCTACGTGACCTCCTCCCGCGTCTCTCTCTCTCTCTCTCTTGCTCTCTCTCTTGCTCTCTCTCTCTCTTGCTCTCTCTCTCTCTTGCTCTCTCTCTCTCTTGCTCTCTCTCTTGCTCTCTCTCTCTCTTGCTCTCTCTCTCTCTCTTGCTCTCTCTCTCTCTCTCGCTCTCTCTCTCTCTCTCCCTCTCTCTCTCTCTCTCTCTCTCTCTTCTCTCTCTCTCTCTCTCTCTCTCTCTTGCTCTCTCTCTCGAGACCTATCTGCAGTCCAAGTACTATTACTTTACATTTAAAATGTACTTGTGATCAGTAGATTAACTTTAATCCATGCACTAATAGACAACAAATTTCTTACAGTTTAAGTGTAACACGTGCATTTTCGAAATGTAAACGAAAGTATAGTCCTTTCCACCCGGGTCTCTCTCTCTCTCTCTCTTGCTCTCTCTCTCCCCCTCTCTTGCTCTCTCTCTCTCTCTCTCTCTCTCTCGTCCACGCCACTGGTGGCAGCCCCACCGATAACAATAACCGAACTCAACAAAGGCCCAAACTATCGGCCGAGTCGGGTTTCAAATCTCCCTGCCTTTGTTCTTTGTTTCCGACCTGAAAGGTGGGGCAGTATCACGTCACAAAGTAAATCGAGCGGTGACTGGACGAGCGAGTCAATGCAATCGGGCGGTATGCATCTCGTTGGGGGGTGGCGCCCCTAACAGCAGTGGCACGCTGCAGCAGGGCCTCACCTTACACACTGCTGGGGTGGCTCCCTATTACGGAGCGTAGGAGCTAAAATAGTGTTTTTTTTTGTGACTTCGGGCGGCCACTGTGTTGGACGCCAGCCGCGAAATACAACTCCATTGGTGGGGAAATATTCTTAGAGGCTTCTCTTTCTCTTAGCTTGCCTTTTCTACGGAGCACGTTTTGTTGCCTCGGTTTGGGAGCAGTGTTGCCGCAGAGTTGGTCGAAACGGTGAAAAAGTGTGAAACTCGTTATTAGGGCAGACTTTGGGACGCCACTGCAAAACGGGCCAGAACAGAAGGCCGACGGAAGCGGCCAATGCACCAGACTCGTTTTGAGCTCCAGAGTCGCTAAACAGGATTCGAACGGAACGTGTGACCCCACCAATGGATTGCTCTCCGATCGAGCAATCCATTGGTGGGATCACACGTTCGGTCCGAGTCCCATTTAGCGACTCTGGAGCCCAAAACGCGTGTAGAGGTTTGACCGCCTCCACCGGTCTTCTGGCCCACTGTGCTAAGCCTCGCTCCGCCCTGCAGTTCCAGGGCCGCGGCATCCGCGTCATGCTGTGCCTGTCGGACACCTTGAGGTCCTCCTCCCCGTTCGGCGACCCCTTCACGCGTCCCGAGGCCCTGGAGGGCTCCGTGTCGCCCTGGGCCGGCCCCGTGCCCCACTTCGCGCTGGACCTGGGCCTCTGGGTGCGGCGCGACCGCCGGGGCCGTAGCCTGGGCCTCGCCATCCTGAAGGCCATCCCCGACATGTGCCGCGCCTTCGGCATCCACCACTTCAGCACGCCGTTCACGGGCGCGCGCAGCCAGGGCCTCGCCGTCAAGGCCGGCCTCAAGGTGGGTTAGTTCGAGCCTTTCTCTTAATGACTTTCTTTTCAAGTTGGCTCGGGGTTGAGGAGTGCACAGTGGGCCAGAAGGCCGGTGGAGGCGGAAAAAACTCTAGACGCGTTTTGAGCCCCAGAGTCGCTGAACAGGACTTCGAACCGAACGTGTGATCCCACCAATGGATTGCTCTCCGAACGAGGAATCCATTGGTGGGGTCACACGTTCGGTTCGAGTCCCATTTAGCGACTCTGGAGCTCAAAACGCGTCCTGAGTTTTGGCCTCCTCCACCGGTCTTCTGGCCCACTGTGGGTGGGGGGCTCGTCAAGAAAGTATCCCCGACTCAGACGGATGCGCCATGAATTAGGCATGCCGCGAATAACCAACTTGACAGCAGACTGATTCCGAGAGTCGTTTTCGTCGCTCTGTCTCTCTCGCACTCATGGGGCGCCCCGTGCAGGTGCGAGAGAGACAGAGCGACGAAACGACTCTCGGAATCAGTCTGCAGAGGGCGCCCGGACTGACGGACAGCCGTGCACACAGACAGACAGGCAGACAGACAGACAGACAGACTTGAAATCAGCACCTCACTTCTTCCATTAGTAGCAGCGGACTTCCATCCCAGACACCAGTTCGTCATCTATATTTCATTGCCAGTGCCAGGATAATTTGCACCCTTCCTTTCGTTCTCCGCCTTTCCTTCTCTCTCACCCACTCTTCCTCTTCCTCTTTTCCTCTTGCACCCTTCCTTTCGTTCTCCGCCTTTCCTTCTCTCTCACCCACTCTTCCTCTTCCTCTTTTCCTCTTGCACCCTTCCTTTCGTTCTCCGCCTTTCCTTCTCTCTCACCCACTCTTCCTCTTCCTCTTTTCCTCTTGCACCCTTCCTTTCGTTCTCCGCCTTTCCTTCTCTCTCACCCACTCTTCCTCTTCCTCTTTTCCTCTTGCACCCTTCCTTTCGTTCTCCGCCTTTCCTTCTCTCTCACCCACTCTTCCTCTTCCTCTTTTCCTCTTGCACCCTTCCTTTCGTTCTCCGCCTTTCCTTCTCTCTCACCCACTCTTCCTCTTCCTCTTTTCCTCTTGCACCCTTCCTTTCGTTCTCCGCCTTTCCTTCTCTCTCACCCACTCTTCCTCTTCCTCTTTTCCTCTTGCACCCTTCCTTTCGTTCTCCGCCTTTCCTTCTCTCTCACCCACTCTTCCTCTTCCTCTTTTCCTCTTGCACCCTTCCTTTCGTTCTCCGCCTTTCCTTCTCTCTCACCCACTCTTCCTCTTCCTCTTTTCCTCTTGCACCCTTCCTTTCGTTCTCCGCCTTTCCTTCTCTCTCACCCACTCTTCCTCTTCCTCTTTTCCTCTTGCACCCTTCCTTTCGTTCTCCGCCTTCCCTTCTCTCTCACCCACTCTTCCTCTTCCTCTTTTCCTCTTGCACCCTTCCTTTCGTTCTCCGCCTTTCCTTCTCTCTCACCCACTCTTCCTCTTCCTCTTTTCCTCTTGCACCCTTCCTTTCGTTCTCCGCCTTTACTTCTCTCTCGCCCACTTTTCCTCTTCCTCTTTTCCTCTTGCACCCTTCCTTTCGTTCTCCGCCTTTCCTTCTCTCTCACCCACTCTTCCTCTTCCTCTTTTCCTCTCTCTCTCTGTCCCGGCCACCGCAGTGCAACGGGAGGCTGCTCTCTGCGGTCCTGGAGTTAGTAGACTAGGTAGCCATTCCGGCAACCAACAAACTTCCCAAACAACCAATGGGGTGCAGTGTGGCACACACAGTGTTGCCACGTTAGTACACGGCAAAAGTACCGCCTGGGATTCCCAGGCGCATCATGGGGAAAAGGGCCTATTTTCCAGGCACCGCCTGGGAATCCCAGGCGGTACTTTTGCCGTGTACGCACAAATTCCTACACTGTGTTAGTGGGCCAAAAAAACCGTGGATGCGGTCATAACTGGACGCGTTTTTAGTTCCAGCGTCACTAGAATGGAGTCAAACCGGACGTGAGGCCCCACTAATGAATTCCTCGTTCGGAGAGCAATCCATTGGTGGGGTCATACGTTCGGTTCAGCTCTCATTTAGCGACTCTGGAGCTCAAAACGAGTCTAGAATTTTGGCCGCCGCCACCGGTCTTCTGGCCCACTGCGGCTGTCGCCCCCGGCAGGCTGAGGTTGGCAACCCTTTCGACACTGGTGCACGAAGGGAACCTTCGCCTGCCGACTGATTCCGAGAGTCGCTTTCGTCGCTCTCTCTCGCACTCATGGGGCCTCCCGTATAGGTGCGAGAGAGACAGAGCGACGAAAACAACTCTTGGAATCAGTCTGCTGTGGCGACACACTGGGCACACAACACCACAGTGGGGATGCGGTTGCCATGGTTACCGCCGTCACCTCGTTAGCCGCATCCTTCGCATCCTTTGCCTTACGAGGGAAAGCCCTGTCGCTTCGCCAGCCCTGCAGACTGATTCCGAGAGTCGTTATCGTCGCTCTGTCTCTCGCTCGCACTCATGGAGCGTCCCTTGTAAGGTGCGAGAGAGACAGAGCGACGAAAACGACTCTCGGAATCAGACTACACACTGCAAGAAAAAAACCACAGCAAAAGTACACAAATCCCTGGCAAATTTTTATCAGGAATTTATTGTACTTTCAAAGTACAATAATAAGGACAATGGAACCGGCATGACGAGTGCTGGGCAGTCCAGGCCTCTTTGTGGTTCGTTTAATTCTCGTTGCACTTTCTACAAGCCCTGTATTACTTCTACGTATTGTACAGTTTTTGTTGTACTTTTGTGGTACTATTCACACTTTTTCTTGCAGTGAAGTGGCTGCAGCAAGCCATAGGGTGAGCAGCGCCACCTATAAACAGCGAGGCTGCAGACCGATTCCGAGTCGTTTTCGTCGCTCTGTCTCTCTCGCACCTATATGGCACGCCCCATGAGTGCGAGAGAGACAGAGCGACGAAGACGACTCTCGGAATCAGTGTGCTGGGCGGAGAGCCCGGCGATGAGGGTAGTAAAATGCACATGGCCACTCGCCGCTCGCTCTGCCGCACACACACCGCGGGGACGAGCCCCCACAGTGTGTCTCTCTCGCACTCGCATGGCACGCCGTAAGGGTGCGAGACAGACAGGGCGCAGTTAGCACTGCTCGGGGACCCTTCAAGCGCCGCCAAAAAAGGGGCGGGAAATTCAAACCGCGCGTCCGCACGGCGAACCGCGGCATGTTGCGTACTTATGAAAAGTTCCGCGCAGCGCGCTACAAATTTCGCGTTTTGCAGTGGTGGCTGTGCGGAGAGAGAGAGAGAGAGAGAGAGAGAGAGAGAGAGAGAGAGAGAGAGAGGAGCGAGCGGGTTGCGGGTTTCGAGAAGTCCGAAGTTGACGCCACGCAAACAAGGAACTCAGCTTAGGGTGTAGGCCCCGCCGGCCCCGCTGGCCCTGCAGGGTGCGGTCGGTGGGTTCACCCTTCGTCAAGTTGCGGCCGGGTCAGCGCGGGCCACTGCAATGGGACGCGGCGGGACCGCGAGCACTGGAGGCACGCTGGACAGTGGGCCAGAAGACCGGTGGAGGCGGTCAAGATCCCGGACGCGTTTTGAGCTCCAGAGTCGCTGAACAAGCCCATTGGTGGGGTCACACGTTCGGTTCGAGAACTGTTCAGCGACTCTGAGGCTCAAAAACCGTCCAGGTTTTTTTCCACCTACCCCACTGTGTAGGGTATGGAGACGCGCATCCTCGCCCACCAAGCAGTCAGTCGGGTCACAGCTTTGGAGAGTGCAAAATACCGAGGGGGTAAACACTTCACGAAATCGTGTACAGACTACTCAGTATTACGCTGTATTACGGGTGTATTACACGTGTATTACGGCCCTAAAATGCCAAAATTTGGCACATTTGACCCAAAAATGGTATTACGATCACGTGTATTACGCGTAATACACGGTTTTTGTGTACAGGGTATTACGCGAGTGGTTACCCCCTCGCAAAATACACTCCCTCGCGTTTGACAGTGTGGGCACACTTTTGCAGTGTGTGAAGACGCGTGCGCGCACGCCAGCCATTGTGTCGTCACTTCCGAAAGACGCGAGGGGCTGGCTGCCACACTGCCACGGCCTGCCTAGTCACGCGTTGCACAGATAAGGGCCCCACACAGCAGCTTGACGCCCCATCATCTCAAGCTTTACATTCATCTTTCAATTTCCCTAATATTTTTTTTCATCCCCTAATCGTTCCAATCTCATCGTGGCCCCCCGCCCGTTCTGATACGACTAGCCTCCTTCCTCTGCCCCCGTCCCCCTTTTCCGTCCCCACCGGCGCTGTGGCACGGTCTCGCAAAAAGAAAGACGCAAAGTGGCAAAATGTCTCTCTCTCTCTCTCTCTCTCTCTCTCTCTCTCTCTCTCTCTCTCTCTCTCTCTCTCTCTCCCCTCTCTCTCTCTCTCTCTCTCTCTCTCTCTCTCTCTCTCTCTCTCTCTTTCATTCACGGCGGTGCTTCCTTCCATTTCACCCCCTTCCCTCTCCCCTTCGGCAAGGCTTCACCATTTAGCACGCTTTTTTTCGCTCTCTCTCTCTCTCTCTCTCTCTCTCTCTCTCTCTCTCTCTCTCTCTCTCTCTCTCTCTCTCTTTCTCTCGGAGACGCTGGCCTCCAGCAAACAACCCCCTTCCGCCCCTAAACTCAACAATATATACACCCCCTTCACCCCTCCCTCCTTTTTCTTCGTTTTACACCGCGCCCGCCGTGTCCGCGTTCGTTACAGCGTCGGCCGCCAGCTTTGGCGGCACGGTCATGAAATTCAAACAACAACAACAACAACAACAACAACAACAACAACAACAACAACAACAACAACAACAACAGAGGACCGGCCACAGCAAAAACAAAATCCTGCAAACGCCAAATATTTACATTTTGACGTACTTGCGTTTTGGTTTTTTTCCGGTTTCTCCCCGCAGCACAATGGGCCAGAAGACCGGTGGAGGCGGCCGGAACTCTGGACGCGTTTTGAGCTCCAGAGTCGCTAAATGGGACACGAACCGAACATGTGACACCAGCAAGGGATGCCTCGTTCGGAGAGCAATCCATTGGTGGGGTCACACGTTCGGTTCGAGTCCCATTGAGCGACTCTGGAGCTCAAAGCGCGTCAAGAGTTTTGTCCGCCTCCACCGGTCTTCTGGCCCACTGTGCGCAGGGTACTTTCTCCTCCAGTGCCGTCGGCATGTTCACAAAGTCAGTTATCTGCGAGAGCCGCCCCGAGAGGGCGCCACCATTCACTCGAGGCAATTGCCACCTCCTCCCCCCTTCCACTCCTTTCTCCCCCCCCCCCCCCTTTTCCTTCTGTCTTTGACTCCCTTACTCGTCACCCCCGCTGGAACCGCCATTGTTGTCCCCCCACCCCCCTGCACCTCATTTACAAAAGCGGAATTTTAATCGCACATTTACTCACTCCCCTCGGCGTAATAAGTTGACGATAATTGCGTAATTGCGAGTAGTTGGGGGGAAGGGATCGTCGCTAAACAGCGAGGAGCGACCTCCAGCTCCTCCGGATATTATTTTCAATTATTCGTCAATTATTCACGCTACGGTGGAGTGGAACCCTCGGCCTGCCTGGCTGGAGTCGTCCAGGTGCGCCGCACAGTGGGCCAGAAGACCGGTGGAGGCGGCCGGAACTCTGGACGCGTTTTGAGCTCCAGAGTCGCTTAACGGGACACGAACCGAACATGTGACACCAGCAAGGGATGCCTCGTTCGGAGAGCAATCCATTGGTGGGGTCACACGTTCGGTTCGAGTCCCATTTAGCGAATCAGGAGCTCAAAATCCGTCCGGGATTTAGACCGCCTCCACCGGTCTTCTGGCCCACTGTACGCAGCGCTTCCAAGGCTCGGTCCAGGGTTGCCGCATCAGTGGTCCGAAATTCCCACGATGCACCATTCAGCCGACCAGGCGTCTTCTCGACAGCAAAGCCCAGATATTGCCCAGTGGGCGGGCTGAGTTTGGCAACCCTGCCGACAGCGGTTCATAGCGCTAGTTTTCGCCTACTGTACATTCGCTCAGACCTGAGCCAGCGGCGACCCTTTGCTATGCAGGCCTTTTCTTGGTGCCATCATGAGTGTGGCAAACAGCCTCCAAACAACGAGGGAAACAAAGGGTCGAACCCTTATAACGCACCGGAACAGCACTCCGACAATGAGGCCCCCGGTGGGGTTCGGCTGTTTAACTTTTCCTTTGGTCGCCGCTGGCTCAGGTCTGAGCGAATGCACAGTACTTCAGGCGGCAGTGGCTGGGGCAGCCGGCAGAGCGCCTGCAGTCTGCTGGGTAGGCAACAGCGCGACACCGCTGCGCTGCGAGGTGGAAGTGTTGCCTACCCTGTAGGCTGATTCCGAGAGTCGTTTTCGTCGCTCTGTCTCCTCGTTCGGAGAGCAATCCATTGGTGGGGTCACAAGCTCGGTTCGAGTCCCATTCAGCGACTCTGGAGCTCAAAACGCGTCTAGAGTTTTGTCCGCCTCCACCGGTCTTCTGGCCCACAGTGAGTCACGGCCCCTGTAGATGCGAGAGAGACAGAGCGACGAAAACGACTCTCGGAATCAGTCTGCTGCAGGCGGTCGCCGCCGGCGGGTCTGCGATACCACAGTAGCTCCGTCTCTCTCGCGCCCCCAGGCCCCGCGGGACGGCCCACGAGTTCGAGCGAGACAGAGCGAGAAACACGTAACGAAGGGTGTCTTTCTGTTTCCAGGAGATCAGCCGACTCAAGTACGACGCCTTCCTGGACCCCGAGGGCAAGCCCGCCTTCCACAACATGCCCGAGGTGGAGTGCGTCCTGATGGGCATCGACATCGAGTAACGCCACCAATAAAAATAAAAATAATAAAAAGTAATAAAAGTAATACTTGGCCGCTCTGGTCGCCCTGCCCTCGGCATCCGTACCTCAAGCACGTCGCAGTTGAAGCCGCCGCTCCGGGGGCACAATATCCAGGGCCAAATCAGGGGCCAAAGAAAAAGCTCGGGAGGGCCGGCCGCCGCACAGTGGGCCAGAAGACCGATAGAGGCGGCCAAAACTCTAGACGCGTTTTGAGCTCCAGAGTCGCTAAATGGGACTCGAACCGACCGTGTGACCCCACCAATGGACTGCTCTTTAAAAGAGGAATTCATTGGTGGGGTCACACGTTCGGTTCGAGTCCCATTTAGGGACTCTGGAGCTCAAAACGCGTCTAGAGTTTTGGCCGCCTCCACCGCTCTTCTGGCCCACTGTGGGCCGCCGCCGGTCCTCCCGTCGGCCCAGCAGACTGATTCCGGGCGTCGTTGGCGTCGCTCTGTCTCTCTCACACCCAGACGGGACGCCCCATGAGTGCGAGAGAGACGGAGCGACGACTCTCGGAATCAGTCTGCGGGGACCGAGGATCGCAGCTTTCATCTCCACCGCCGCCACACCGCAAGAAACGTTGAGGGCGGTCGTTGAGGGCCTACGGTAAAAAAAATTCGTAAATCGAACGCCTCGAAAACCGGGAGAGCACCCCGGTTTTGGACACGCTGCTGTCTCTTTCCCTCCCCCCAAAACAAATCCACGTTTAAAAGATTTTGAATTCTGAAGTCGTGGTCAAAGTGACTTCCTGGCATTTAGGTATGATCCCTTCACTAAGTCCATCATTTTTCATGTACTGAGTTAAAGCTGTTTTAAAAATAGTCTCGTTTGGTCAACAATAGATTTTTCACCTTACTAGTGTGCTAGCTCCCAAAAACGACTTATCTTGAATCAAGAAAAAGTTAACTTTTCTTTTTGTTTTTCAAAAAAGTTTTTGCCTATCTAATTTTGTTTCCTGGTATGCAGAAAAAATTTCTTGTTGTCAGACTTCTTTACATACAAAAACAAAGAAAATAAAAAATAAAGAAACCATTTTTCTGGGTGCCCCTCCCTTCCCACAGTGCTCAGAGAGCCACGAATTGGCCAATCGACGCAGTAGCAGCCCGACAGAAATCCAACTCACAATTTGCACTGATTAATACGTGCTCGTTCTGCGTTATTGCGGTCCGACCTCTTCAAAAGGAAACCGCGTGACGCCAGGGTGCGCACAGTGGGTCAGAAGACCGGTGGAGGCGGCCAAAACTCTCGACGCGTTTTGAGCTCCAGAGTCGCTAAGTGGGACTCCAACCGAACGTGTGACCCCACCACACGGTAAACCACCAGTAAGTAAATTTGTCTACTCGAGGAAAACACGTGATTGTTTCCTCGAGGTGCCTAATTTGCCTACTAGAAATTGGTTACTTGAGTAGGCATTTCCAAACTGTTTACTCGATTCGCCGGGCGCTGGTGGTGGGGGGCCGGCGAGAAGACAGTTTTGGTTACTGGAGTGGCTGATTCGGTCGGTGGTGGGGGCAGAATCATCCCTCTCCAGGAGACTAATGTGTCTACTCCAGTAAACACCATTGACTTCACAGAGAAAACAATTACTAGGGAGCTGGTACCGACATTTGGGCCTCAAACACTTAGTGGATAACTCAGTTACTCACTCCCTCTCCCCTGATAGAGCTTAGGTGTTTCCGGACGACAGGTAGCGAACCTGCACTCTGCAGCTTCGGAGCGCGCGTGCGTACCCCGAGACTACGAGACTTGTTGGAGGAAGAAGCTGCGCGCACCGCACATGACCCGAGTCACCCGAATCCGAACAGCCGCCCCCGCAGTAACCACTAGGTGGGGGGAGGCAGCCGATCGGAAAGCCGAGCGGGAGCCGAAGTGCACCCGAACGGCGGCGACGGTGCGCGGGGAAGAGAGGGGGGCGCGGTTCGGGCGCTGTCCGCCAGGTGGCTCCAGCAGCGCTCGCCCAACTGTCTCCTCCAGCAAACAAAATAGTCTACTCAGTAGACAAATTAGAAGATACGATCTTTTACGCGACTTACGTGTCTTTGTCTAAAAAGTGTTTACTGCGACTTCCTCGAGGATACAATGACATTAACTCAGGCTTACAAATTTGGTTTCTCGAGGAGCTTGTCTCACAGATAAGCTACTGGTGGTTTACAGTGCAATGGGTTCCTCGTTCGGAGAGCAATCCATTGCTGGGGTCACACGTTCTGTTCGATGCCCATTTGGCGACTCTGGAGCTCAAAACGCGTCTAGGGTTTTGTCCGCCTCCACCGGTCTTCTTGCCCACTGTGGTGCGCCGTCTCGCGATGGATATTGAAACTTTCATTCATCCAACTCGATTTGGGGTTCCGCGTTCCGCGCGCTGCGCGGGCGGGGACCAGGTAAGAGGGCGGGTCGGGCAAGCAGGGCAGGTCAGGCTGGCGTTCCAAACCGTCTGGTAAATGCTGTCTTTGCCAGAGGGCTGCGCTGGCCTCGACCCCGGAGTGCGCAGTGGGCCAGAAGACCGGTGGAGGCGGTCGAAATCCCGGACGCGTTTTGAGCTGCAGAGTCGCTAAATAGGACTCGAACCGAACGTGTGACCTCACCAACGGATTGCTCTCCGAATGAGGAATCCATTGGTGGGGTCGCACGTTCGGTTCCACTCCTGTTTAGTGACTCTAGAGCTCAAAACGCGTCGAGAGTTTTGGCCGCCTCCACTGGTCTTCTGGCCCACTGTGCAGTTTCACGGTGGAGTTCCACAGTGCCCCCGCCGGTTGGTCCGCTCGGTGCAATTTTGCGGTGGCCGCCGCTCCCTCGCAAAGATCCCAGTCTTTTCCTCTCGAATTGGACCGACCGTCAATATAAAACCCGAAGCCGCACAGTGAGAGAGCGAGAGAGAGAGAGAGAGAGAGAGAGAGAGAGAGAGAGAGAGCAAGTGAGAGAGCAAGCGGGCTGGTCTACGATGTCCGGCGGCCAGGCAGCCAGCATGGTAGCCAACCAGTCAGTTAGCCAGCCAGCCAGTCAGTCACTCAGTTAGCCAGGCAGTCAGTCAGCCAGGAACACAGGGGCCGTGCTAGTGGCACTTCAGCCCCACCGAGGAACACATGTCCAGTCCACCCCACCCCCACACAGTGGGCCAGAAGACCGGTGGAGGCGGCCAAAACACTAGACGCGTTTTGAGCTCCAGAGTCGCTAAGTGGGACTCGAACCGAACGTGTGACCCCACCAATAGATTCCTCCTTCGGAGAGCAATCCATTGGTGGGGGTCACACGTTCGGTTCGAGTCCCACAAGCGAGTCTGGAGCTCAAAGCGCGTCTAGTGTTTTGGCCGCCTGCACTGGTCTTCTGGCCCACTGTGCCCCACCCCCTCCCCGACTCAGCCGACCTCCTGGCCGGCCTGGGAGGACGGACTGCACGTCGGCTGTCTGTCGGCTGCCATTGTTGTTTGTGCATCTGCGGTACAGTCTCGGCCGTAATGACGCCACTTGGATTCCCTCCAATCAGAAGGCAGAGATTCCCCCCACCCCCTTTTTCCCACTCCCCGACGACGAGCCACACTCTCTCCCAGCGCTTCCCCTCCACTGAGCCAGAAATGAATTAACCAGAGGTGATCAGCAGAACGTCCCCCCCCACCACCACCACCGGGCTCATGTGTGTCCCCCCCCCCCCCCCCCCAAGTCGGGATCCTTTCCCAAACAATGGGATGTGGTCAGAGTAAAATGCGCTTGTGTGCGTGCGGTCTGGATGTGACACCGTGTGTGTGTGCGTGTGTGTGTGTGTGTGTGTGCGCGCGCGTGTGTGTGCGTGTGGTGCCGCCAAATGAACAAAATCAAATCAAAATTAAACAAAAAGACCGAACAGAAACGCGCGAGAAAAATGAAAATAAATCAGGTTTCTTTGTCGAAGTGGCGGCGATGCGGACGTTCTTTCGCTGTCCGTTTCCCCCACCACTCCCCCCTCTCCTTTTGTGTTTTATTGTTTCTGTTGGCGTCGCTCCCACGAGACATGAATGTTTTACGCGGTGTTCGGGTCAATCAACAAAGTCTGGAATTGCAGTGGCTGGCCTGGTGGGCCGGCCGGCCGGGCAGGCAGGCCCCAGAAGAACGAGAACACAACGCCGGGGGAAAATGAAGGAGTTGGTGCAGGAGCGCGCAGAAAGCGGAAGTACACTAGGAAACAAACGGGACAATGCAAAAATGGAAGTCTTACACGGCCTGGACGCGTTTTTGATTTCGGTCGGTTATGGCCGACACTGCTTACAACAACGGGTGAGTGACGCGTGGAGGGAGAGAGAGAGAGAGAGAGAGAGAGAGAGAGAGGAGAGAGAGAGAGAGAGAGAGAGAGAGAGAGTGGCTGAAACAGCTGAAATGTGCAAAGAAGAAGACCCCTGACTCCCACCAGACTGCCACCAGTCCGCCCCAGGCACCGCCACAGGCTTGCTTGCGCCACGCCGAGCGCCAAGCGGCAAGCACTTGCACCCGACACGCCTGGCAGTGCCTTGCAGTGCCCCTTGCAGTGCCTTGCAGGCTCCGGGCCCCGCAGGCCTTCTTGTGCTGCTTCCTGCATGAGCCCGTCCCGGCCTTTGTGACTCCAAACAAAGAGGCCGGGAATATTACAGTGCAAGCGGCCGAGGCCTGGAGGCCAGCAAGGCCGGCCGGCCCAGCAGACTGATTCCGAGAGTCGTTTTTCGTCGCTCTGTCTCTCTCGCAGCTGTACGGCACGGCCCGTGAGTGCGAGAGAGAGAGAGAGAGAGAGAGAGAGGGACAGAGCGACGAAAACGACACTCGGAATCAGTCTGCTGCTTGCCAGCGTCTCCGGCCAAGCGATGTCACGCCCCGACCATCCAGACGGGTTTCTAATTGACTCGCGGGCAAGTTGAGAAAACACTCGACTGGAGACGGCGTTGCGACCCATTTCACTCTCTCTCTCTCTCTCGCACGCACGGGGCGCAGTCTAGGGTGAGAGAAAGAGAGAGAGAGAGAGAGAGAGAGGGAGAGAGAGAGAGAGAGACGGCGCGGTGTTTGGAATCAGTCTGCTGGTGCAGCAGCATC